TTTATCATTTCACACACACACAAAATATATATATATATATATATATATATATATATATATCTCTCTCTCTCTCTCTCTCTCTCTCCCTCTCTCTCTCTCTCTCTCTCTCTCTCTCTCTCTCTCTCTCTCTCTCTCTCTCTCTCTCTCTCTCTCTCTCTCTCTCTCTCTCTCTCTCTCTCTCTCTCTCTCTCTCTCTCTCTCTCTCTCTCTCTCTATATATATATAAAAGGTGATTTATAATTGCAAGCAGAGCTGCTGTAAGGTTTGAAATTTGCCGTCTTTTTAATAATTTAAGCATTAATCCTGGATCGATGCCAAGTCACCTGGAGTGTCATTCGGTCAACCAGGTTACAAATTACTTCCACAGACATGAATAAACTGGGGTAAATACAACTTTTGAGTAGCATCCAGAGGATCTTCTGTTTTGGTGTTGCATATAGCATTTGGCCCTGCTTTCAGTAACAAACATTGATGTGAATAACATAGGGTGCAAAAAAAAACTTGTGAAATTACGTAAATTGAACTCCAGATCAAAGACGTGATTTTAAACGATGAGAAGGATTTCACGCTGGGGCTGCCACTGAAAGCTGACAACAGTCGTGTCTATGGGAGCGGCAGCCAGGGCAGGGCCCTGGCGAGCCGACCGCACCGCGAAAAAAATCGCGATTAACACTGACGCCTACTGAAAAGGAAAAGATGAAAGCCTGTTTTGGAGATCGGAAACGCGGGAATCCGCTCAGCTGCGTACATTCGCCTCCTGGAATAGAAGCTGCTGGCGGCTTGCGTGGAGGTCCTTTCACCAGGCTTCATTTTACAGCAGGACCCATGTCCCCTCCCAACGTAGCCGGACCAGACGGTTTCTCGCTGGGCGCTGCCACGTCATTAGAAAGGGCGAGCGGCCAGCAAACTCCCTTACCTGAAGCCTCTGAACCATTACGTATGGAAAGCGCCCTCGGAGGAAACACGCATCAGTCTCATCACCGGAGACTCTCCATCCTTGACGGACTGAAAGAGGCCACCATGACCGCATGGAAGTTCAGTATGATGCTGAAGTTCACGAAATTCATGGTGATGATGAAGCTCATGAAGTGCATAGTGATGATGAAGTGTATGAAGTTCATGACGATGATGAAGTTCATTAAAGTCATGGTGATGATGAATTTCATGAAGTTCATGGTTATAATGAAGTTCATGATCCCCGAAAGATGGACGAGCTGAAAGCAGCCATCATGACCGCATGGAAGTTCATGACGATAAAGTTTATAATCACCGGAAACTGCCCATCCTGGACAAACTGAAGGAGACCATCATGACCACATGGAGGCAGGTAACACCAGACACCACAAGGAGCAGCATTCACCAGTGGATGCAAAGCCTGTATGCGGTAGTTCAAGCTGGTGGCTGCCCAAACGCTCACGTGTTTCAAAAAAAGACTGGCTACGCAGCATGTTTACGCGTCTTTGTCTCTGAGCTGATAACGCGATGACAAATCAGCTGACGTCACTGAAATTCAATGAATAGCACAGACACCTTGCGCTATTCCGCAATTTCCTTTAGGCCTAAGGTAAAAGCACAAATGCTGGGCAAAAGGTGGTGGGGCAAATTGGACATATATGCTCAGCTAAGGCTTTGATAAGCACCGTCGTTGCAGGCCTCAGGCTGTCTGGCTCAAACGCATCCTCTCTGCTAAACGATTCATTTCCTACTTGCTGGATGACCATGGGCGTAGGAACAGGGGGGGGGGGGGGGGCAGGGGCCGTGGCCTCTCCCACTTTTCAAAGTGGGTGACAGCAGTGTTATCTGCACCCTCCCCCCCCCCCCTCAAACACACACACTTTTCAGATTGAGGTTGTATTTGGCTTGTTTTGGCACCACATTAAGTATTTGTGCTGATCTACTTAGTTCACCAGCCATCTTCCTCAAGATGTGTTCTCTATTTCGTTTGCTCATTGACCATCGCATAGTATTACAGTCGCAAGGCCGACGCCGCACTGGAGACGGCAACGCCGGGCGTGGAGGCTGCTGTTGCTATGGCTTGCGAGCGCGCGTGTTCAAGAATATATTGCGTAGTTTTCTTATCAGTAATCAGTTTCGACACGAACTTGGGCATTTTAAAGCGAACATGTGTTAGCCATGTTAATACAAATTGAAAACCCGATTTCATTTACAATCTACGGTCAGGGAAAACCCAATATCTCTGAAGAACACAGAAAAACACGGAATTGGAGTCTATGTGACAATTATTCGACTACCTGCGGTGATCAGGGATGTTGTTGCAACAGTAAGGGTTCCTGAGCTGGTCCGGGGCTAACTGAGCGGATCAGAAGGCCTTCCGTGTCAGGGATGGGGACAATGTGATATGAAATATCCTTCTAATGGCCCCCGGATCGACCTAGAGGACCCGCCCCGTGTCACCAGAGTGATAGCCTGAAGACACCTCGCGATGGGACGGAACGGTCCTTCAGCCCTTGACCGGAAACGGTTAAGGGCTGAAGTTGTTCCTCTGGTGTTCTACTCAAGAGCCGCTTGCCCGGAAGGAAATAAGGGGTCCCATTACTGTTGAGTAGATTGGTGGTCTCATTATTGTTGAAAAGGGTGGGTCGAAATGAGCTAAAACACAAAAGAGCGGGATCATGGCATGTTTGCCTGAGAGTGTTCATTTCTTAGAATGTGTTATAGAAACAAAGTCGTTCAACAACTGATTTCTACATGTTATTGACCTCAAAATACAAACAAAATTGAGCTCACGGTAGCTCTTGGTTTTTGTTCTGGTCACAACGTAAAAATAACAATAAGGCGAGGAACAACATGCCACTTGTCAACAAGTAAGCTGCATGCGGGGATTTTTGGGGGGAATCACTATAAGATGGGCTTTTGTCAACCTTGCGTTTCCCCTTGGCAAGGCTCTGGCTACGCCCCTGTCTACACACAAAGGCAAATGAAGTAGTGTACGTTGCATGATGGGCAATGAAGTGTCCGCCGGGCCAATTCATACCTAAGGCAGACAGCTTCCCGGAGGCTATTTTTCTGCGATGATGTGGTGTTGTAAGGGAAGATAATTCGGAAACAGATGCTGCTGCAGGTGTCCAACACATGTTTCACACCATGTAGTAGTAACGCTAATCCAAAAGTATGCAACAAAGCAGCCATGCGATCAGTTCGCAGTCAGTCATGCGGGAGACATCCGGGCCAGGGCAGTGGCCATCGATGGCGGACAGGACCAGGTCCAGATAAGGAGCATATGGCAGATGGGCCTTACTATGTGGCCTGGTTCTCAAAAGAGAACCTCCAGTCTTGTGGCGTTCGTCGCATTGTTTCTGGTAGCTTCAAGCTCCCGAATTCGTCTTCGCCTAAAATGCTGCCACGAGTCTTATCTCTTGAAAAGCAGCCAGCGAAACGAAGGCACATGAAAAATCTGTCGCACTGTGAGCCATCGGTCCACTTAAAAAACTCTCACCAGCAGATATCCTGGCCGTATTTTGACATCTACACTGTGTAGGGAGATGCTCCCCAATGACCCAAAATGCCTACCCGCTCGTGGAATTTCGCCTCCCCAGGACAGGCAACGTTACAATGAACGAATAATCTTGGGAAGCTGAATAGCCTTATTTGCCAAATTATAAATCATTCGGATTGGCAATATTGTGCACAGCGAGAACAGCTCCAGATGCATGCATCTCCATATTGCTAAAGGACACCCTGAGCTTGCCCCCCCCCACACACACACTTTTTGAAACATTTCTACGCCTGTGTGGACGACGCGCGAATATTGGACGACCCCGAAAATGTCTCCAACAGTGTACCGCATGTTCTTTCGCGTTTGTAGCAGATTAAGTGGCAAGGGCGACGCCCAACACGGCGCCGATAAATATCGTTCCAGCGATTATGCATGGCCCAGCCGGCGGGCCTGACGGCTCGACGGCCGTCATTCAAGACAGCGATGCGCATCCAGAGGTGCTGGCACCACAGGGCTCAGCTGTGAACGTCCGTGGCAACAGCAGCGGGCATAGACGAATCGAGCTGGAAAAAGACGACTCCGGTTGTCTCTTCTTCCAGGGACCAATTGGTAGGGCTATTGCGAGGGATCTGATCACACTGCCCTCAGTTCACTTTCGTTCGTGCCTGGACTAGTTAAAGTGCCTCCAATGCCGAATGAAGCTAGAAAGAGATAATGAAGGACCACAGCACCTATGCGAGTTGTTAAGGGCAGTCCAAGCAGAACCGTAAGATGTCACCCAACACTTGTTGACAGAGTCGTTGTTTCACAGAGTTGGGGAGGGGGGGGGGGGGGGGCCTGAGCAGTGAAAATTGACGACATCTAATCCAAAGGTAGGCCACCAAACGGGATTTTCCACGGATTTGATCCACGTTCGTCACCAAGTTCAGGGGAAGACTTAAGTTCAAGTCGGTCTGGCTGGAGCCCCCCCCCCCCTTCCCTCACCACTACAAAACAGGGAGCTGCACCCCTGCTTGTTCACCACAAACTTTGGGGCTCTCCATCCAACCTATGCGGCAGCACCGTTAGACAGAAAGCTACTTTTGTATATGCCGACAGAGGCGCCAACGCCAGTCATATTTGTGCTGAAATAGGAAGGCCTGGAATGCTTGAGATAGAGTTCGTCCAAATATTAGCGACGAGGCGAAGAGCTTGTCTTTGATTCTTCTGCCTGTTCTTGAACATTTGGAAGTCCAAAGACGTCCAATGTTGTTGCGTTTGGTTAAAAAAACTGCATCTGTTCGGCCGGCTGTGGAACACCTCGGAGCCTTTGGGTCTTTGCGGGGCCAAAGGGGTGGGGCATGGCCCCGTGCTCCTCTGCATCCGCCTCTGCTTACATGTATCTTGCTCTTCCGCTCTTTGCGCCATTTTGGGGTGCAGGTAAGGAAACACCTATATGGTAGCATTCAAAGTCATAGACAGCTATGACGCATATTTGACGAGCTGCTCATTACGCCATAGCGTGACACCCACGTACAGGGTACATTCCCATGCTCCTGTCCGTTCGAGGGAGAGGGGAGTCGCGGATTGGTAGCGGTCTTGCAGGGGCAGCTTTTGTAGAGTCGTGCGCGATAAACAAGTTAGCATCTGGTTCCACTCATTGAAGATCCTGATATGTCAGCCAGGAAAACCAAAACGTCCACTTCTGTGGATGACGATGTGTGCATTGTTTGTTTCAAGAATATTACTATTCGCTGCATTATGGACTGTGAACACACCATATGCTACGAATGCTCAACAAGACTGAGAGTTCTGTGTGAAAAGCTGGAATGTCCGATTTGTCGTCAGGAAACAACAATTGTAAGTATGGGGAATACCAGAGAGAATTCATTAGTGGTGTATGTAAGTTCAGTTACCTCTTGTATTCAATTGTGGCCTTTGCCCTGGCAAGGTCTGGGGGTTGTGGGGGTGTAGGTCACGAAAGTGGGCTGCTCTATGGCACTTAAAGTAAACACTGGTGTCACAGTCATATGGCCAGTTTTCATGGCTGATGTGCATGTGCTGGGTCATGACTGAAATGTTGACATAAATCTACAAACCTACAACCTGCAACATGTGCATGTGAAGGTGATGGCCTACAATGTTTTAGCGATCTGTACACTGCCCTGATTAGCATACAATGTCTTTTTCCAAAGGTGCACTGTCTTGACAATGCCATGCACAATGCCTTTTAACATGCACATGTGTGTGTTTGAGCAGGGCATCTTCACTCAGGAGGAATTTCCATAGCAAATTACTTCAGTAACCTTGTAAGGTTAAATTTTTCCTGGCATTTAGTGCAGATATGACATAGCCCAATACAGCCTAACTTTATCTTTTCATTTGGGTCACACTTAACAGGGGAGGGGGAGTGGGCTTGGTCCCATGATCAGTGAACTTGCTGGCAAATCCACAGTGAGGAATCAGCAATAATATTGTACACTCCTTCTGAATGGTTTCACCAGTAGGATACTTTAATTAATAATTTTTGTTTAAGGCCAATATAATATATTATTGTCATTTTCTCATTTCTGTTTGCATGATATGGCTTAGAGTAGTTGTCTTTTGTAGACAGTTCTTTTCTGATAGATGAAATATGTAATGTAAATTTTGATAAAGTCATGTCACGCTTATGAATTATGTGTGCTTAAATGGCTATTATATGGGTCAAATAACATGGCACATCTTTTCAAACATAGTTCCTCTGCGATGATCCTCATTTCCATTTTAGGGCATATGAATGACTGCAGTAATTTTCTGCCCATCATTATCCCTTTTATTGCTACCTTTGGCATTGTGTCAGTAGTACAGACATCATTAGTGCTTCCATCTTCATTTAGATGTTAAAGTTGGATAATGGTCACACAAAGCTTCAACCCTTTTCATGAAGTACCTATATCAGGTATATGTCTTTTCTAGCTAATACAGCTTACTTTGTAACTTAGTCTGCTCTTGTTGGTGACTTTCACCATGTAAAGGAAGTAGTTTGTTTGTTAGGTGCCAGATTCATGTCCCAAAGTTTTATAAGACACATCTTTCATTAGCAAATTGCTGGTATTATGTCATTCCTGGAAGCCTTCATAGTTTTTGGTGAGCAGCATTGAACTGAAATATAAGTCAAATATCTGGCAACCCGGTGTGTTCAGTGGTTGTGTAGTTTACTCTCATATAAATGTGGGCACTGGAAAGCTCATGGAATCTGGTTATTCAAATCTTGGGTGTATTGGATTAAGAACCACATGTTCACTTATCTAACCATGATGACAATTCCAATATTATTTTGATGCAATCTTGATCCTGCCAACATTATGGTAGGGGCCATGCATGAATGTAACATCCCAGAAAATGATAAAAATCATCAGTATGCATTCACAAGCTGATCAAGAATAATGTATGTTATCAGGCTCCTTGTGGCAATTATGTTTTGTAATGCCAAGGTCTGAGAACTGAACTACCAATTGTGTGCTTGTAACCTGTCTCACATAATTTGGGACTTAAACATTAAGCATGTGGTGATGCTTGGAAATAATGCCCTAAAAGCCACAATTTTTGTGGGAGTCCCCTGATTGTTTATGCAATGACCCCTTTGCTGATAAACATTGCTTGTGGAGGCATACTCTTTTATGTACTGTGCTGTCACCATGTGGTGGAGTTCAACTTTGGCCCTAAATACTGGGGAGTCTGGAATCTTCTCAATAAAAATAATGGGGCCTTCTATTTAATACAAAGCATTACAGTTATGTATTGAGCACTATAATATACCAAATACCAGAACCTATTATTTCTTCCTAATTCTGCATATAAGTCAAACTGCATGAAACACATGATAAATTACTGTATTGATAGTAATGCATCAATGTTCTCAATAGTGCAGTAATCTGGCATATGACTATTACACTGGTAATTACATGCTTCATCTTTTTATCATTGTGGTTGGTGTAAGGTTCTTATTTGATTACCTTTCTGAAGAGTTATACAGGATCCTACATTATAACATAGGTAGTAAGTGGGATACTGTCATGTATTTTGCATATGTTAAAGGCCAACTAGGCCAACAAGAACATGCTAAGATGAAACCAGTAAGCTTCATTGAGTTTTGGGCAAAATGTCCCAATAGCTGTGTTGATATGTAAGCTTGAAAAATTCACGAATTCATGAGCTGAGGGGTTCAGATTAGTGGGCTTCATGTGCAATTCAACACCCATATCCTTGTTTGCCATCAGGTTACTTCATGTTTGAAATGCCATGTTGTCTTATAGTTGTCTATTGTGCTTTAGAAGCAATGTTATGCAAAATACATGTATTGCATGTATGGTGATCTACACCATGCACCTAAGCCTCAGTTAAAGAAAACATGCATTGCAAATTTAGTGAAATTAATTGAACAGTTATGCCACAAACTTGGTGGGATATGTGATATTCAAGTCAGAAGTGAGGCAAAACATGCTAATTTTATTGCATTTAGCAGTAACACTTTGATATAAAAGGTCATCCTGCATGTCTGCTGATCAGGTCATCAGGACATCCTGCATGTCTATTGATCAGGTCATGAGGTCACCCTGCATGTCTCTTTATCAGGTCATCAGGTCATCATGCATGTCTGACTATAAAGTCATCAGGTCATCCTGCATGTTTGAGTTTAATAGAAGAAAGGATTCAAACAACTAAACACACAACATTTAGCAGTACATAACACAGCACCCACACACATAAAAACCATGTCTTGATATATCAAAGCCTTAAATATTGCTCACTCCTATATGCTCACTCCTATAAGAAGAAGCCCAACCATGTCACATGACTGGAAAGAAGTGATCTGTAGAACCGCTGGGCGCAACGGAAAAGCGCTGGCCGCGTCTTCGGTGCCCGGTGCCACACGTGAGATGCCTTGGCAGGTATCCTCTCAAACATTTCGGGAGCGAAGCGCGGAGTTCTCGTGGAGCTGAGAAGTAAAAACATTTTGTTCCCCCATGCTGCAAAGTTTGTGGAGAGAGTTCAGAGAGCGAAGTTTGTACTAAAGTTTTTGTCAGTATGCAAGAGCGCCGCGGGGATAAGATGGCGTATCTGTGAGAGGTTTGATGACGCAGCTGGGGTCGCGCCGGGGAGGATAACATGACATGTTTTTGACGATGGCGGGAGATGCGGGACATGCTTATCGGAGTGCGCCCCGCGCTATTTGTCGTACATTGATGCGCTTGCACAGAATGAGGTTCTCACGCAGAATAAGACTCTCACGCGAAATTCGCCGCAGAATCCAAAGGGTATCCCGGCTGTGCCTTGATAGTATGTAGTAGTAGCCAAGGGTAGTCATGGACATAGCATTGATCAGGTATGATTTCATTTTGTGCCAGTGGGGCCAGGTGCTTAAAGCTCGGGTCCATTGTGGCATTAAGTCAGGAAGGCGGTCTTCTCGCCATGGGCTTACGTGAAACATCGTCAATATGTTGCTTCTTTTGTACCTCTGGGATGTGAAGGCGCGATATTGATGCACAGGTCGTAGTATGGTGTTGTTTCTGTATGCTCATACAGTGGGCAGTGTCCATTCAGACGTGCCTTTCGTTTGGTACACATGTCTGCTGCCACGTAGGGTTTGTAAGTTGGCACGTGAAAGATCTTTTAAAAGCTGCGTTTCATCTATTTTTGTTTCCGCTTGCCATTTCATATGCACGTAGCGTACTTATGATATAACAGATGTTTCGGGTCAGTGTCATTCATATACGCATACGATTACAGGCTATTTACTGAACAATGCTCACCATCACCGGTATAATTTGCTTTACAGGTCCTCACCGCCTCGTCGAGGACGAAGCGGTGCTCCGAGCGCTGCCGGTATTTACTTTACATACCCTCCGGCAATGGTTGTTCGGGGCATGTGCCGTGACAAAGAGGCACCTGGTGCGGTGCAGAGTGTGTTTCATGACTCACGACGATAGCAGCCCTTGGCACGCGCATGTTGGCGCAAACGTCGCCGATCTTGACACCTCCTCGCCGCGCCCTCTCCCGCAGGCGGTGTTTTCGCGCGACAAAGGCTCGTTCCGGTCGCTCTTCATGCGCGCGCTGTACAACGAGGACAAGTACAAGCTGGCGCTGGAGGACGAGGCGGTGCGCCGAGCCTTCGCGGGCCTGCTGGCGCACAACTGCCCCGTCTGTCCGCAGCGGCGCGGCTTCGGCACGTTCAAGCAGCTGAGCGACCACGTGCTGCGCGAGCATCAGCTCATGTACTGCGACCTATGCGTGGGGCACCTGAAGGTGAGGGTGCGGACGGGCGCGGGCCCGGCTCCCCACACTGCGGCGAGCGGCGGTGGGACCACCTGCCCTCATTGCCTTCTCCCTGGTGTTAGTGGAGACGTGGTGGGTCGAGGAATGAGCGTCGAAGGCGAGCACTTCGATGGTTTTTAGGCATGCCTGCCTGTATCACGTGTGTCAGGTTGGCTAGTTGGTCAAGGGATGGTAAGCATTTGCCACTACGATAGGTCACGCTTTCTACTTTTCTGGCATTCAATGAGCCACTTCTACAGTACGTCTTCCTCACATGCTAGGGGCACACGAAGCCGCGCGGGTGGCTCGTTCTCCCCCTGAGCTAGGTCCCAAGACGGATGCGCGATGGTCGTGCACGCGGGTTTGGACATTCCGCGGCTGAACTGTGACGCGCCAAATCCCTCCGGTCCAGCAAAGGGTTCTCTGCATATGCTGGCTCCACCTTAGAATATTCCGTTTTTTGTCGAAGGGCGGTGGCGGTGGTGGTGGGGGAAGGAGGTGCTGCCGAATGATAGCTGACGGGAATATGGATGGCGCGGGGTTGGACGGGCAGAGCGTGTCCTGCACCCTCCCCCTCCCGCCCTCCCAGGGGACCAGCTGCCTGTACTGATGAATTGGTACATAGTTTACGCATACACTCGCGCGTAAGCACTGGCGCCGCCCGGAGCAGGGCGGAATGCCTCGCCGTTAAAGGGCATGCAGTATCGGTGCCGGCGTACATAAATGCTACGCAGAAATCATGACGTGTTGTGATCCGGTGTGTGCAGTTTGTTTGTGATCTGGTGTGGGCAGTTTGCTAGACTGTACACACAGGCGAAGACGATAGTCCAAACAATTTTTTCATCCGTATTACTGATGCCTCGTCTTAACCTTCCCCTAAAGCTGCAGTTGGTCCCATTTTTTTCTGGCAGCGCGGACATCCGTGATCGATCATGTGTGTCGTGCCTGCCCGATCCGTGACGTCGCTTTTTCTGCCCGTGACGTCACCGGTGCGCTCCCACGTCACGCGGCCGCCGCTGTCGGCAGATCTTCACATCGGAGCGGAAGCTGTACAACCGGGAGCGTCTGGCGCTACATCGGCGCAAGGGCGACCCGGACAACTCCTCCCACCGCGGCCACCCGCTCTGCAAGTACTGCGAAAAACGGTACGTGGGCGGTCAGAAGCCGTGTAGTCCGTGCTGGGGTTCTTTTGGACGGGGCCTGCGAGCTCCGCAGCGCCATGGCCGCATTTATGCTCCTAACTCGCATTGGATGCGTTGTGCCTCTTCGCATCTCCGTGCAGGGATTACGCGGACGGTGCACCGTACATCTTGCGTTAAGTCAAGAGCTCAGTTCAAGTGAGTTCAGGATCGTTCAGTGAGTCGTGGGGTTGGCAAGAGATGCTCTTGTAGTCGCTCGGTGGTCTGTGGCGACCGAAACGAAACAGCTTCGCGGCGCGCAGCCGGCTACGCGGATGCCCGTCCGCTCGCTACGGCGACGCACGCGGCATTGTGCTACTGACAGCTCGAGTGCTTGCTCTGCCGTACCCGCGATGTCCGGTGTGCTACACTGCCGGCGAGGCATGGGATAAGGTGGCCGAGTGGTCTGAGGCGCCGTGCCCCCAATGACGACGTCTGCGGTTCAATTCCTGCCGCAGGCGGTTCCATGGCGACGAAGCGGCGTGAGGTGCCGCTCAGGCGTTGTGCTCGCCAATGAAGGGCTCAGTAATGACTTGCTTGTTTTCGCGCTTGCGATCCGGTTATGGATGCGAACTGAATGTGCCCTGGGAGGAAAGCCTGCGATCGTTAACGACGTCGTCGCCAGGTACGTGGACAACGACGAGCTGGTTCCTGCACCTTCGGCGGGACCACTTCTACTGCCATCTGTGCGAGGCTGACGGCGAGCAGATCTTCTACGAGTGAGTGGCGCTCCTGAGGGCACGTCTGGCCACTGCTGGGCGCACTCGTGGACGGCCCGGGGTTACCGCTCACCTCTGGGAGGTCAGAGTGGACAGGCGATGTTGAGGGGCACGTCTGGCCACTGCTGGGCGCACTCGTGGGACGGCCCGGGGTACCGCTCACCTCTGGGAGGTCAGAGTGGACAGGTGATGTGGCGGGTCATGTCACGGCAGGTCACCACCGGACGGGACGGGGTACGACGGACGGTGACACACTAAGTCCGCTCGGGAGGGGGGAGGGGGCTGTGTTGCGTGCCGTGTTTGACCCCGAGAGGTCTCGTATGGGATTTCGGGACGCCCGTTTGGAATCACCGTTGGGATTCCCGTTTTCCAGATCTGGTCGAGCGCCCCGGTTGGCTGCAGGATGTGCCGCGCTAATGATCATTAGAGCGAGGGCCCTGGGCTGAGTGGGTGTTATTGAGCACTGTACGGTCCTCAACTCGTTTGACTCTTTCTGCTCGGCTCATCCCAGCCCGGCTCTGCCGAACGGTGTGCGGATTCGCTCAATTATTTGCAGCTGGAGCCTCCCCGACGTCGCGCAGCTGGTCGTGCGCCTCCGCTGGCTCTGATTGGCGGAGATCCGGCACCGGTTGTTAAGGATGTCCCAAGAAACGGGTGAATTCGTGCTTTGCGAGCGGTTCGCTCGTGGATGCTCAGCACGCGCCGGTCTGAATTTCGGCCCGCGCGTTTGGCTTTTGTTTCATTCATCAAAAGTATTGGCTTTAAGGGCCGCCACTACGCCTGGTTGGCGACATCGGAACTACTTCTTGCCCATGTTCTTCGGTTTGATGTTTACAATTAGAAAGCATAACGTTTCCCACGCTGACGGAATAGGGACACGAGATAGTGGTGATATGTGGAAGTAGAGAGAAGCATGTCGCCGGAACAAATGGCTTGCATTTGAGTGCTTGAAAGTACGAATATCACAGCACAGCGTGTAATAAAATGCGCTGTGTGTTGCTGAAAACTTCATCGCGGCACGATCAGCCGTTACGGACTGAAGCTCATCAAAAGCGTGACCGGCCAGGTCAGGCCGCTAAAACTCCACGAATTTCGGCTAGCTGGTGTTAAGACTCGCCGCCGTAGCAACTCAGGTGCTGTGGTATATCAGTAAGCTCGTGGAGTCCCCTGGAGAGGAGAGACGCATGCTTGTATTAACGTATTATTGGTGGCTCGGAATCCACGTGCCCACTCCTGCTCCGCCTACGGTCGCGGGGTTCTTGTACACTTTCAGGAAGCCGCCGACGGGTAGTCCACCAAGCTCCACTGTGCGACGCAGACAGGAATGTGTAGCGACGTTAGAACTGCCCCGCCACCCCCCGCCAATGCCATTCCCCGGGTGATTCACGGACAGTGCTCCAAAGAATGGAAGGCATTGGCCGAGTCGGCCTGGAAACAATAAGCGCCAGTTCGCCGAGTGGTTACTGTCGTGTCGAGAGCGGGGGGACGGGGGTTCGATCCCCACCTGGTGAAACTTTTGCGAGCTGCGCTTTCCATCAGTATTCGTGACGCTGGTAACTCGATCAGCTGCACGTGCAGTAGATGACCGAGCAACTGTGACAGTGACGGCTACTGCTACCAAATGCTGCCAAATGTACAGCCACCAAATGTCCGCGCAAGAGGTCACATCACAGGTCACATCAGCTATTGCATTGCACTGACATCATTTTCTGACGTCACATTACCCTCTCGCAGCGACTACAGCCACCTGGCGGATCACTTTCGCGAAGAGCACTTCCTCTGCGAGCAGGGCGAGTGTCTGGAGAAGAAGTTCATCGTCTTCAGGACCAATATCGACCTGCAAGGTGAGTGCGGCTGGCCGGCACTCGCTGTGTCGCCGTCGTCACGGCCCGAACCCGACTGGCGCCACTGTCGACGGACGGTGATGCTGGCGTGTGCTTGCTGTTGCCTGTGGTTGTCAATAGGGCGACAGCGGCCCTTCGATGATAGTCCAAAGTACATTTGCTGCGGTGACGTAATGTGTGCTGCGGCAAATGAAGAGAAATGCGAAGATTTGGTTGCATTTTTGCCTGAACGTTTTTTTGTGGGTTTTTCAAATTTTGGCCTCCGTGTATCACCCCAGTCTTCGTGTTTGAGTCTACCCTTTGTGTTGAACCCAATGTAGTTGTATGAACTCATTCTTTGCGTTTGATCCCGTTAGTTGTGTCTGCCGCGGTGAAGCACGCTACCTTGCGTGTCTGCTCTGATGTCTGCGTCTGATCCACTCTGTGTATAAGCCACTTTCCGTATCCTATATGTAGCCGATGCAAGGTCTTTCGAGCCATCTGTCATTGCCTGACGCCTCTTTGTGCACCGGATCTGCTGTCCGTGCGTGAACGGTTCCCTGTATGTACCGCGCTCGCAGCTTCGGACGCCACCGGCTGTGTCCGACCCCCTTCTGCCGGCACCCTCGGACACGTCGTCCATACCCGACACGGTGCTCAGTGTCTGAACTCGCCGTCTTTGTCTGGGCCCACTGCCTCTGTGTTGCGGACCCTGTATCTGACCCCCTTCTGCCCCTTCTGCGTGCACCCTCGGACACGCCGTCCATACCCGACACCGTGCTCAGTGTCTGAGCCCGCCGTCCTTGTCTGGCCCCACTGCCTCTGTGTTGCGGACCCTGCGTCTGACCCGCTCCGGCCGGCCGTCCGCCGCCAGCGCACCGCGCCACGGCCCACTCGGACAACAAGAGCCGCGCGCAGCAGCGCCAGGATCGGGTGCTGACGCTGGAGTTCAGCGCCGAGCAGGGCGGCCGCCGCCGGCGCAACGACCGCTACGGCGACGCGCGCAACGACAGGTGCGACCGCTGCTGCGGCAGCAGCGGCAGCGGCAGCGGGTGATGTGATGTGATTTACAGGGAGATGGGACATGTGTGACCTGCGTAACAGCGCTTGGGAGGATAGGGACGGTTCGTGCGGCTGGGTCGGCGACGGTGGGGCGGCTGAGGATGTCACGTTGACAGAAAGACGACAGGTAAAATTACTTTGGCGATTGGCAGACGGGTACGGATGCTGGTGCAGCCGATGGGACTGGCGGCAGGGGCGGTTGTGTGGAGAGGGGCGTTGGGGCTGAGAAGTCCGGCGTGCTCAACGACAGACGCGACAGCGACAGCGGCGGCAGGGTTATGTGATGCTCGCCTCGTGCCGAGCTGTGAGGACTTGATCCCTCCGCTGACCTGACCCGAACTGACCCCACCTCACGACCTCGACCCGCGCCGCCGGCAGGAGGGAGCAAGGCGCCAGGGCCCACTCGCCGCCGCCGCCTCCTCCGCCTCTACCGCCGCAGCAGGCGCCGCCGATGAACACAAGCAGCACGCAGGAGTTCCCGACTCTGGGCACGGGCGCGGCGGAAGGCGCTGAGATCAGCGGCAGGTCAGTGGCGGCGGCTCACGCGGTCACCCGACACGTAGGCAGACGCTCAGCGACAGGTCAAAGGTGACGGCCCACGCGGTCACCCGACACGTGGGCAGACGCTCACGTGGCAGAGGTGCCGGCCCGCGCGGTCACCCGACACGTGGGCAGACGCTCACGTGGCAGAGTTGCCGGCGGTGTCGCGGAGCCGGCCGCCAGACAGTAGCTCACGGGAGAGGCGACTGGCAGGGGCACAGCAGGGGTCGCGTGGTAGATCTCACAGGGCACGTAGTTGATGTTGCTCATTCGGCTGTTCGCAGAGCTGGGATGTGGTGCGGGTCAGACGTTCCAGACTTATAAAGCAACGTTTTCAGACAGGTCAGACATTTGTTACGTGACGTTTTTGGACACATTGTCGCGCCAGTGGTATCAGCCGAGAGACGCCCGGTGACGGGAGCCTCAGTGCAGCGAGTGGCTGGCGCTGTGACTCCTCCTGCGCCTGACGTCGCCGTCGTACCCGCAGGGGCGGCAGCTTGGCACAGCGCGTGGCGAGCGCGGCCGGCCTCACGGTCAGGGCGGGCCCGGCGCGCGCGCGCGGCCGGCCCTGGGACAACCGACCCGTCACCGTCAGCGAGGAGGAGTTCCCGAGCCTGGGCGGCCGGCCGGCGCCGGCGGCCGCCGCGCCGCCGCCGCCCCCGGCGCCGGCTCCCTCACTCAGCTTGAGCGTGCAGCGGCGCGCGCCGCGCTCCACCAACGTCACGATCGACTTCAAGCGGCGGCCGGCGTCGGCGGGGCCGGCGGCCGCCGCTGCCGCCGCCGCCGCCGCCGCCGCCGACGCAGAGGCGGAGGCGGGCGGTGCCCAACCGCGCATCTCTCAGGTACGTGCCGGTGCGGCGGCCGGGGAGGGTTTTCGGCGGGGGAATGGGGGTCTGGGGGCGAGAGGCTCCGGGCTGGACAGCCGCGGCGGTGTTATTGAATGCGCGAAAAGTAGCGAGCCGTAAAGTGGCGACGCTGACAACGCGCGGTTTTGGTGTGCTTCGTTGGGTTGTGCGTTCGGAATTGGTGGCGTTACATATACAGATGCGCTTTCGTCAAGAGTCCGAAGCCGCGATGCTTGTCCACCTAGCACGTCGTGACCAGATGAATGTAAGGGAAAGACCTGGAAGACCTGGGTATCATCGCCGCTAAAGAAGCTGCACACACGTTGGATGTGAACACAAAACACTTCATTGGCGCCGGGAAAGTCACGGGTCACGGGCCACTGATCACGGTTCACAGAGTCACAAGTAGGGGCTACGGTTCAACGGGTCAGCGGGTCCCTGGCCGGCGGGTCACAGGTTGGCGGGTCACGGGTGGACGGGTCAGACGGGTGCCGGCGTGCTGGCCGGGGACGCTCAGCGACCTCCGGCCGCAGCGGGTACTCAGTTCTCTGGCGGCAGCACGCGACGCGTTCAGCATGATGTCCCGCCTTGGTTCGCACTGCTCCCACCGGTTGTGTTTCCTGCGACTTGGCTCTCAATTTTTGCATATTGAACGGCGAAGGCCGGGACATGCAGCCTGCATGGGTCTACTGGCGACTACCTTAAACATGTCCGGTCTAATGCGGACAAAACCAAAACCTGAAACTGCAACGCCCATCATATCAACATTTGTGGTGCAGCTTGCGTGTGCCTTCGGAACGTTGCAGGGACGATGGTTCACGTTTGCGACGTCCGATAGATGCCACCTGAAACTCAACAAGCCCGTGATGATCGCCGCTTCCCAGACGTTACTTCGGAAAAGAGCTGTGTTTGGCTGGGTTGGCTCTAACTTCAAGGGAAGTCTGGGAAACTGGACCGGTAGACGTCGGGTGCCTGTAGGAGAGAGACGTGGACTAGGCCGGTATCGGACCTCTCACCACGATCAGGGCCGACGGCCTGAACCACGCTGGAAGACACTTTGTGGGAAGCTGCACGGTGGCCTGTGCTGATAGCGTCCCTCCCCTTCCTCCTCCTCCCCCCCCCCCCCGCCGAGTGGAGGCCGTTGCATCCGTCCGAACCGGGCCGTAAAAGTCAGGCGCTGGTCCATTGAGCGTCATGTCGTGGTTGCTGCGGGCTGCTGCGCGTCTGCTTGTACTTAGGGCGCTGCCGAATTCGACCAATTTGCGGCTGGGCCAGGCGGCGGTGTATTGTGGTGTCGTATTCCATTTGCGGCGTTCCAAGGCTACGAATAGGTGTGATGTCGCTTGTGTATTATTATATGCGGCATTACACCGAATAGACGCGTGATATTGCTCCTCTGATGTATTTTGGGTGGGATATTATTTATTTATGTCGATATTATTTTGAGTATCTTATCCGGGGAATAAAGCTATTACTACTGTGCTATGCCTTTCCGGCTTAATGCTGAAACTCGGATGGCAGGCAACCAAAGACCCCTCCCATCGTCCAGCTGCGCATGACACGGCGTCGGGGAAGTCCAAACGCCACATGTGCACGCCCGCCGTGTTTCTGGCTTTCATTCATCTGCCGTTGCCAGGTGCGACCATGCTTCATTGTTACTGCGTCGTCCTCATTTCCGGCGCTCTGCCACATAATTGAGCGTTCGTGAACGCGTGAGTGAATGGGTGAGTGGGAGAGCACTGTGAGTGAGTCGAGGCGTTGGATGTAGTCATATAGCCCTGGCTGCGGCGCCCCTCAGCGCGAGCAGCGATTGGCCGGTGGGGACCGCAAGCGGCTGATCGCTCCGCCCCCGTGTGAAGCAGCCCACGTTCAGTCATTGTTCACTATTGAGCGGCCACCTTTTTGGTGTGTGACGGTTTTGATTTGACACTGCTACAGGCAACGTCGGCGTCAGGGCGTGGTTATTTTGGGGTATACGAATGAGTTGGGGTGCTGCTCGCCGGTATCTTTAACGCCCAGGTGTGAGCTGGTGTCTTCGTGGAGTGATGGAAACGGGCCGCTAAAAGTAGAAGTAAAAAGTGACAAAAACTCGCGTGGATGGTGACAAAAATGTTCCTCCAAACTTGGATATGTTTTACTGCTTCTTCACTTCGGGCAGATACTAATGTGTCGTATGCAGCGAACTGTCGCATGCAACGAACTTTCGCATGCAACGAACTCGCCATGTCGCACCTGTTTTCTCTCAGAACGACGCGGTGTTATCGCGAAGCACGAACTTCACTGTTCACCATCGGCGTGGGAGACAATATCGGACAAGCTTCGGACACGCATCATTCGACTGGCTATTCGGCTGCTTTTCGGAGCGTTAATCACAGGCTTGTTCACAATCCGAAAAAGTCCCATTATCGCGCACGTCACTGTATTCGGCGACGAAAGAGAGAATGTGGCCGTAGTTGCCCTTTGTTTTCTTCAGTTAACAACCCGAGCCCCCGTGCGGTGCGACACAGGCGTAGTCACCCGCACCTCAGGACTCGGGCTGTCAACCGGCTGGTTGCGGCAGAGTGGCTGGGACTAGCACTTCTACGTTGGTCGTGCTGGTCCGGTTTGAAACTTCGGGGCCGGCATCGAGCTGATGACGGCCCGGACTGACAGACAGGGAAGCGTGTCCAGAGAGGGACGGATCACGAAGAGCAAAGAACACTGCGCTGTCAGGTTGCACAAAAGTATGTTAGCGATATGGCTCAGTTCGACTACCACACTTGACATCAGCAAACATCTGCCTAGTTCCGGCAGTCGATATGCCAATAGCGGCCAAGCAGTGGTCATACTGTCAACCGTTCTGTGGTAGGCATATCACTAATATCATTACCTAATATTAACAGAGCAGCGAAGCCGTGGGGACGCCCACAGTTCTCACCCGACGCACAATGCCACACACACAACAGCACTCGTTGGCGCCATCTGTTGGTGACCCACACGACCAAGTGTTGACCTCGTGCCGCTACACTGTCATCTGTAAGGAATTGACTCGGAAATGACTTGTCTGTTATCTCTTGTCTGTTATTTGTCCAGTGGGCTCTAGAGGGTCATTGTCAACTAGAAAACATTTTTGTCGCGTGTCGTTACCTCTACGGCTACTAATGATATTGGCTTCGCCATAGCTTGTTATTTTAACAAGATACCGGCTTGCCAGTGAAGTGGTACTGTACCCGGCAATGAGCTGACCAAGCAAACCAAAACGCTGTCGTCTGCCCCGTTCCCCGCAGGGGCACCGGCTTCGGTCGGTGTAGGGGACTAGCGCCCCCTCGGGTCCCAGCTCCGGTAACGGGTGGACAGCGCAAGCTGTTCCTCTCAGGGCGTAGCGACCCTGCCGGTACGTGAGCCCCTTCTCCTTGCCCCGCTCGCTCCCTCCCCATTACCCATTTTCCCGCATCCGGCCCACTCATCACTCCTGATCCTCGTTTTATCGGGGTCGCCGTGCCCCCTCGCCCTCGTCCCCGGGTTGATCGGATCCTGGTGGCTGAGGGGCGCGTCGTGCGGGTCAGTCACGGCGCGTCCCAACACTCCACTTTGGCCAGGATATCCGGGGGCGCGGGGGGCCCGTGGGGCCCCACACGGGTCTAGCGGCTTGTCGCTCGCATCGCGGTTGGGTGCTCCTTGCGGGTTCCGCTTGGGGCGCCTGGCCGCGCGCAGCGGCTTAAGGGGTCAAGGGGCGGCGGCGCTGAACCACGGTCAGGACGGGGAGGGGTCTCCCCGGTTACACCTGGCCGTGTGGGAGGCGTCGTCCGCCCCGTATAGCACCGAGGTAGCTCTGGCGGCACCACCACCAGCTGGTGAGTGGGCCGTCCCCCAGTTGGGCTCCGAGGTGGGTGGGGAGCCCCGGTGCCGAAATAAAGAACAACCTTACATGGCATCTACAAACCCAAAAAACTCCCGCCCCCCGAGAGGGGGACGGACTGCGATGAATTTAGGGTGCAGCGAGGAGTCGGTTCCACCTGCCCCACGCGTTCTTGTCTTCCGGAGTGATGTGAAGAACCTGGCATCGCTTTCACCGTTTCAGCGCCGAAACGGATGCGACAGGTTGGGAAAAGTCACCCGCTGTGACAAGCTGAGGGACGGCGCGATCGAAGTGGAGTTCGCAAACGGCACCGATGCGACTCGAGCTTTGACTGTAACTGAATTTGTATATGCCGCGAGAACCGAGGGTGCAAAGCAAGACGTGAGCGTGCCGGTCACGGTCACACCGCACCACACCAAAAATTTCTCAAAAGGTATCATAAACTGCTATGACCTTCGTGACGTCAGCGAGGAGGAAATCATCGAAGAGTTGGGAATTTTCGGGGTCACGGCAGCACGTAGGATCACGACCAGGAGGGGTGATGACCAAATCCCTACAAACAACATGATACTGACATTCAACCGGCCTGATTTACCGTCTGATATCCGCATTGGCTACGCAGTTGTCAAAGTCAGGATCTTCGTTCCGAATCCGATGCGATGTTTTCAATGCCAGCGCTTTGGTCATACAAAACCACACTGCCGCAATCGAGCTGTCTGTGGGAAGTGTGCATCTTCCGAGCATTCGGGAGACCAGTGTACCTCTATGCAGCCCTGGTGCGTGAACTGTGGCACGGGGCAGGTACCGCACACAACTTTCGATCGAAGTTGTCCAGCCTTCGTGAAGGAAAAGGAAATTATATCACTCAAAACTTCAAAGAACATTTCTTTCCGCGAGGCGCGTGAACAGTATGAGGCTAATCACCCCAAGGTATCTTATGCCGAAAAATCCAAAACCTCTGTACCACAGTCCACCAGCATCAGTCACATGTCAGCGGTCCAACTCATCACGCTCCTGCGATCCTTCGGTTTGTCTGTGGTGCCGGCGGGGCGGGCGACCCCCGCCCAGTCGGATCCTCCTGGTCCTTCAGTTGCGTCCTGCTCTACCAACGCTGTGCCGCCGGACCTTCATGTGTCGTCGGGGTCGCAGACGGGGGAGGAGGAGGGATGGACGGTGGTCAAGCGCGGCCATGGTCCGCGGGCTCGGCCTTCCTCGCCGTCTGTCACTCCGCTGCCCTCGTCGCCTCCGGCGACGCTGGCGAGTGTGTGTGGACGAGCAGCGGAAACGATGGAACGGCATGAGGCGGACAGGCGCGCCCGCGACGCCAAGCGGGCCCGCCTAGCGGAGTTGGAGAGGGCTAAGACGGCCAATCGCTTGTCCGTTGCAAGCAAGGAGCCCACCCCTCGCAGTGGCACACCATCGCCGAGAAGGCCAGTGGGGGCCCCCGCTGACCCCCCAGACGCCCGGTAGAGGCCCGCCGATGGGCCCTCCCCCGCCGCCACCCCGGACCGGGTACGCTGGCGTCAAGCGTGCCCCGGCCGGTCCCCCGTCTCCATCTGACGGCGGGAGCCCCAGAACTCGTCCCAGAGTGGGGCGCCTCCCTGAAGATTCCAACCGTGGCTCTCAGTCAGAAAAGTCTGCTTCTGCAACTGGCGCAGCCCAGTTCTTTTAGGACGTGCCCGGTTTTAGTATGTGACCTCCAACCGGCTTTTTAACACGCCCCCTTTACAGGCCTTTTTACGGTGGAACTGTAGAGGAATAAGGGCGAATGCCCTCGACCTCCAGGCTGTCGTCAGCAAGCACTGTCCTGCAGCCGTAGCGCTGCAGGAGACCAAGCTTGCTTCTAGTCACCACTGCACGCTGAAGGGATACGCCCTGCTTCGCAATGATGTGTTAACCGACGGTATCGCACATGGCGGTGTCCTTCTTGCAGTCCACCACAGCGTGCCAGCCAGGAGGTTTAACCTGCGGTCTACGCTACAGGCTGTAGCCGCACGCCTACATTTTAATCACCGTCACATCACGGTGTGTTCTTTATATCTTCCACCTGGCGTCGGTTTTCCATTGGAAGACATGAGACGTTTAGTGCATGAGTTGCCTTCACCATGTCTTCTTTTAGGCGACTTCAACGCTCATCACACCGCGTGGGGTTGTGATAGCACGAACACCCGCGGAAGGATGTGCGAACATTTTATCCGTGACTCGTCACTGTGTATTTTAAACACAGGGACTCGTACTCATTTTACACTGCCGTCTGGTCAGACTTCCGCGCTTGACCTGAGTCTTTCTAGTCCCGAGCTGGTGGAGAGCCTCGAGTGGTCTGTGGCAGATGATCCAATGGGCAGCGATCACTTCCCAGTGTGGCTTCGATTCCAAATAAGAGGAACGTTGGGTGTAAGACCACGACGTTGGAATTTAAAAAAGGCTGACTGGAGAGAGTTTGAGGCTCGACTGGAGACATTATGTCAGACCGGAGGTGTGAGGGTGGCGCCCTCTATTGAGGATTTTACTCACAGACTTCTAGATTGCGCTAGCGATTACATCACGCGTACTTCTGGATTTCCTCGTCGCACTCCTGTGCCGTGGTGGACGGAGAAATGTCGTGACGCAATTCGCGCGCGCAAACGTGCTTTCCGAGCTTTTGACGCCAGAAGTAGCTTGGAGAATTTAGTAGCCTTTAAGAAAGCCAGGGCTTTCGCCCGCCGCACGATAAAAGAAGCGAAACGTGAATCCTGGCGTATGTACATAAGCACGCTCAACCGATTCACACCAACTTCGCAGGTGTGGGCTCGGATCAAACGTATCTCCGGGCAGTTTTCATCCGTGCCACTTCCTGTGTTACATGTTAACGGCCAGGTGGTGACTCATCCGTTGGATGTGGCTAACGGGATCGCCCGAGCACTCTCCCACCGTAGCGAAGGTGCAAACATGAGCCCACAGTTTTTACGGCAAAGAGCACAATCCGAAAAAACCGTAGTGAACTTTTCTACAAGGCAACCACAGGCGTACAATGAGCCCTTCACTTTGGTGGAGTTGGAGTCGGCAATCGGAAGACTTCGTAGTGTATCGGAAGGTCCTGATGACATCCACAATGAGATGCTCCGACATCTGCCTCCGTGTGCACGTCGTGCACTATTGGCGGCCTTCAACAGGGTGTGGTCAAGAGGTGAGTTCCCTCCGGCCTGGCGGGAAGCTGTTGTGGTGCCTATCCTAAAGCAGGGAAAGAGTGGGCTGGACCCTCTCCATTACCGACCCATTTCACTGACGTCATCACTGTCCAAGCTCATGGAAAAGATGGTAAACGTGCGACTCACTTGGTTTTTAGAGAACAACGATATTTTTAGTAACTCGCAGTGCGGATTTAGGAAAAACCGTAGTACGGTGGACCATCTCTTAACACTGGACACCACGGTTCGCAAGTCTTTTCAAGAAAAAGCGCATATGGGCACAGTATTCTTCGACATTGAAGCCGCCTATGACACCACATGGCGCCATGGTATTGTTCAAAAGCTCTTTAAATATGGTATACGTGGCCATATGGGTGCTTTTCTCCAAAGGTTTTTAGCCAAACGATACTTCCGTGTTCGGGTCGGCGACGTCCTCCGACAGGTACGAACAAATAAACGGCGTGCCCCAGGGCGGCGTGTTAAGTGTTGCACTGTTCGCAGTTATGATAAATGATGTTTGTGATGTGCTCCCACAGTCGGTCGGACGTGCCCTTTTTGTTGACGATTTTACTATTTGGACCAGCGCAGCGAGAGCACCAGCGATGGAGCGGCGTCTCCAGCTGGCTGTGGACCGCGTTGAAAGATGGGGTGACATGAACGGGTTTCGTTTTTCAGGCGACAAGACCGTTGCGATGCATTTTTGTCGTCGCCAGCGATGTGATGATCTGAGCATCCGTCTATATGGTCGCTCTATTCCAAATAAGGCCGTGGCCAGGTATCTTGGGATACACTTTGACCGCCGCCTTACATATAACGCACATCTTAAAATGTTACGCGATCGATGCTTTTAATCTCTCAACATACTAAAGTGTGTGTCTCGCACATCGTATGGGGCAGACAGAAGCACGCTTATGCTTTTATATCGTTGCCCTCGTCCGCTCCAAACTGGATTATGCATGCTTTGTTTATGATGGCGCGTCTGAATCCAGCAAGCGTGTTCTTGATACCGTCCACCATACTGCCATTCGCATTGCTACTGGGGCGTTTCGCGCATCACCTTCCGTCAGCCTTTTAACGGAGGCACACGAACCACCACTTTCGACGAGGAGGAAAATGCTTGGCATGCGTTATGCCTTGAAGCTGCGGCAGTTCCCACGTCACCCGACATATTCTGCAATATTTTCGCGGTTTGCAGTAAGTTCTCTTCGTCATGGGCCGCAGCAGCACGCTTTAACTTTTGGTTCCCGAATGAGAGCGTTATTGCTTGAGAGCGGAATTCCTGTTCGGGGTGTAAGGCAAGTAAGCCGCCTGGCTTCTCCTTGGCAAATGACCACACCCTTCATTGACACCTCGCTTACGGAAATTAGGAAAAAAGACGTCACACCACACCTATTGAGATCCAGGGCAGTTGAGCTTTTGGCGTGTTATGAAGGATATACCCTGACATACACAGACGGATCCAAAACCTCGGATGGCGTGGGTTGTGCTTTCGTTAGCGGGTCCGTCACTCGATCGTTCTCGTTACCGGCCCACTCGTCAGTTTTTACGGCGGAATTAGTTGCAATCACCAAGGCGATATGTTTCATAGAAGTGGGTGAAGAATCTTCACACGCCATTTTTACAGATTCACTGAGCAGCCTCTCTGCACTGAAGTCTTTTTATCCATCATGTCCCCTTTTACAGGACATTTTATCACGCCTGACACAATTGAATCGGGTTGGAAAGAGAGTTGCACTATGCTGGATCCCTAGTCACGTCGGTATCGTGGGCAACGAACTGGCTGATGCCGCTGCTAAGCGAGCAGCGGTAGCACCATATACCCGGTTTTTGCCTATCCCTGCCAGAGATTTTTACCCGGCAGTCAAGACCTTCCTGAGAAGCAGATTGCAGCGCTGTTGGGACCAGGTGGGGGGCAATAAGCTCAGGGCAATAAAGACAGAGTTGGGCTTGTGGTCGTCATGCTCTCGCAGTGTGCGGTGGGAAGAGGTGGTTTTATGCAGGCTGCGCATTGGGCATACTTATGCCACCCATGGCCATCTGTTACATGGAGCCGACAGACCCCTATGCCAGCGGTGTGGTGCCGTCCTGACTGTCCATCATGTCATTATAGCATGTCCATGCCTCTTCGAAGAACGACGACGTCAGTTTGGTCCACAGGCTTCGACCCTGACGATAAACGATGTGCTTGGTGACAGTTCCTCCTTTCTTGGTCCCAAACAGCTCTTTTCGTTTTTAAAAGATATTGATTTTCAAGTCATTTTCACACCGTACTAATTAAGTAACAGCATAGTTATGGGCGCAAAATGACCACTGCAGTCGACGCGCCCGAAAACTCCAATGAACAACAACAACAACGTCTGCCCCGTCAAGTGCCGCTCTCTTCTATCGGGGCAAGGCGTAACCAGTGTTTCCCGCTCTCTCCGGCAGGTGTCCAGCTCGGGCAACATCACGGTCGAGCGGCGGCCGCCGGAGCCGGTGCGGCCCGCGGGACGCGCCGGCCGGCCGCCGCCCGCCACGGAGGAGGCGTTCCCCTCGCTGGGCGCGCCGGCCGCCGCCTCCCGGCCGGTCTCCTGGGTGCCGAAGCGGCCCGAGCCGGCGGCCAAGCCCGCGCCGAGTCCGGCCAACCGGCCGGCGGCCGACGACTTCCCGTCGCTGGCGCCGGTGGCGCCGCACGGCAACTTCCGCAACTACTCGGGCGTCGACGGTGTCAGGCCCCTCGCGAAGTCGGCCTGGGCCACGGACAACCGGCCGACGCCGGCTGCCAGCGGCGCTACCAGCGGCGCTGCCAGCGGCGGCGGGGCGAAGGGCAAGAAGAAGAAGAAGCGGCCGGCGGCCGGCGAGGGCGGCGCCGAGGCCGGCCGGCAGAACGGCGTCAGCACCGCCGAGAGCGTGGAGGTGCGCAAGGCGACGGCGGCGGTGAACGGACTGTCGGTGGCGCCGCGGCCGCCGCCCGGCCTGCCGCCGCCGGGCCTGGCCGAGCCGACCGCCGGCTCCCGGCACGGTGGCTTCGAGTACCAGCGGCCGGAGAACTTCACGGCGCGCAACGGCCGCCTGGTGCTGCAGGCGCGCGAGCTCATCCAGTCCGAGCAGGGCCTGGACGCCTTCAAGACCCTGTCGAGTGAGTGGCGGACGGCGCGGGGCGGCGAGGTTTGCCGCCCCGGTTCTGGCCGTTTCTTCTGGGTGGCTTTGGGATGCCTCATCTGCTGAAGTCATTCGCGTGGCGTCTCTCCAGTTCGCCGAGGGCCTTTCGGGTGGGGAAGTGGGAGAACCAGCATCTTTCTCGTTCTCTGCAACTTCTTCTGTTGTGATGGCGGCACTGTTGGACCGTGTTTCACCTGGCCGATGCCAGCTTGCGCCTGTGCCTGTTCTGTCACGTCGCTGGGGCTGCTGATGCCGACGGGCGATCCAAACGCACGCGACACGGCTGGGGCGCGCCGACGGTGTTACACAGCGGCGGCTGGCGCGACCCGGCCGCGACGGACCTCTTATTCACGTCACTAACGGATGCTTCCTGGTGCTGGGCGTCGCTGGACGCCGACGATGTTTGCCCTGGACACGTTCCCGCCCCCGGGTTTGGATGATCTCGCTGCTGACATGCGCTGTGCTCTTTAGAGACGTACCTGGGCGGCGGTCTGTCGGGCGAGGATTACTACGCCAGCTGCATGACCCTCATGGGCAACGACAAGTTCGGCAAGGTGTTTCCCGAGCTGCTGGTGCTGCTGCCCGACATCAGTAAGCAGCAGGTAAGCGCACTGGGCGCGGTGTTCGTGTGCGGAGCGGCTGCTCAGCAGCGACACTAACGGACACACCTCGTAAGACGTGAGACGCCTTTAAGACGCCTCGTAGACGCGAGACGCCTCTCACGGCATGTGCGGAGCGCGCTGCTCAGCAGCGACACTAACGGACACACCTCGTAAGACGTGAGACGCCTTTAAGACGCCTCGTAGACGTGAGACGCCTCTCACGGCATGTGCGGAGCGGCTGCTCAGCAGCGACACTAACGGACACACCTCGTAAGACGTGAGACGCCTCTCACGGCATGTGCGGAGCGCCTGCTCAGCAGCGACACTAGCGGACACACCTCGTAAGACGTGAGACGCCTTTAAGACGCCTCGTAGACGTGAGACGCCTCTCACGGCATGTGCGGAGCGGCTGCTCAGCAGCGACACTAGCGGACACACCTCGTAAGACGTGAGACGCCTCTCACGGCATGTGCGGAGCGGCTGCTCAGCAGCGACACTAGCGGACACACCTCGTAAGACGTGAGACGCCTTTAAGACGCCTCGTAGACGTGAGACGCCTCTCACGGCATGTGCGGAGCGGCTGCTCAGCAGCGACACTAGCGGACACACCTCGTAAGACGTGAGACGCCTTTAAGACGCCTCGTAGACGTGAGACGCCGCTCACGGCATGTGCGGAGCGGCTGCTCAGCAGCGACACTAACGGACACACCTCGTAAGACGTGAGACGCCTTTAAGACGCCTCGTAGACGTGAGACGCCTCTCACGGCATGTGCGGAGCGCGCTGCTCAGCGGCGACACCAACGGACACGCCTCGTTAGACGTGAGACGCCTTTAAGACGCCTCGTAGACGTGAGACGCCGCTCACGGCATGTGACGAGCGCGGCGACAGTCGATCTGAAAGTTTCGGCTGTCATGTGTAAGGCATCGAAACCCAAGGAAGTGAAGCCGGCTGCTCTGGTTGCGACGAATTGGGCCTCTTGTTGCTTGTGATTGCAAAGGTTTGCGGTGGCTGAAAGGTTGTTACAGTTTGTGGAAAGGAGTTTCTGTAAATTTTGGAAGGCTTGCCGGCATGTTGATCGACCCAAACTGAATATTCTGTAATTGTCTAGGTGGGACACGTGGCCTGCGAGCTCGCTCGTGATTAAGTATGCCGAACTCTTTAGTTTGCGGTCAAAATCGTATATTCCAAAAAAACATTTTCAGTCGTACCGTCAATTGCAATGCATCGGTAGCGGATTACCGGGTCAACGGGCAATACCGGGTCAACGGGTAATACCGGGTTACCGGCACCAGTACCGGTACCGGGTTTGCCAAGGTCAATTATTTTGTTACCGGGCCGTCGATCGCATTTCGTCACACCGCATACCGTGGGGCGCGAGCCTCCGATGTAGATCAACGCCCCGTCGCTGTCGCTGTGACAGCTGTCGGGTATGAGGCCCGACCCTGACGTCCATGACGCCGGTCCGCCAGCGCGCCTGTCGCCTGCGACATCTGCACGAACACCTCTAAAACCCGTCGGGCACGGGCGCGGCGCTACTGACGCCCCTCCCCCTCTCCATCCCCTCAGGAGCTGCTGGCGGCCCACGAGAAGCTGAACAAGAACGGCTTCCAGCGCAACAAGTTCCCGGCGTGCCCGACCTGCTCGCAGGTGCTGGTGTTCGCCGACTTCGCGCAGCACACGTCGCGGCACTGTCAAGACGGCGACTTCCCGGCTCTGTCCTGAGGTCGCGCGCGCCGAGTGTGTGGCCGGCGCGGCGGCCGGCGCCGGCGGCCGGTCGGGCTGGCTGCCCCACCGCTGCGGCGGGGCTCGCGCCGCCGGGTGGGCTCGGGTGCCGCGCGGGGCGCCGGGCCGTCTCCGTCTCGGGGTGTTGTTCGGGTTGGGGTAGTTGTGAGTTCGGAGTGGTCTTGGTCTAGGCAGGGGGAGGGCGAGACTCAGGCTCGCGGCGGTCTCGAGCCCGCGGTGGTCTCGTGCTCTGGATAGTCTCGTGCCCGCGGTAGTCTCGTGCTCTGGAAAGTCTCGATCCCGCGCTGGTCTCAGACTCGGGATAGTCTCGGCGGCGGTGTCGCCTCGCGCTCGGAGTTGCCTCTCGCTGGGAGCTGCCTCGTGCTCGGGGTGGTCTCAGTCCCGAGGCATCGAGCTCGTCGTGACGCGGCGACAATGCCTTCGCTCGTCGCACGGCGCTCACTGCGCGCCGCAGAGCTGGCGAACAAATTCTGCCTCCGGCGCCGCGCCGTCGACTCCCTGTGCTCTGTCCCGGCGTCCGTGATTCGGATTGGAGCGGTGCTGTGATTGGACAGCGGGCCGCCCACCCGGCCTTCGCTTGAACTACGTGGCGTTGGTTGGTTACGTTGGCGCGATAACGTAAACGATGGCAGCCTCGGTGCCGCAGGGATCTGCCGCGCCGGTTTATGGCTGGCTTTTGAGGCCCGGGTTATGTGCGCCTACTGATGTCCGAGTTATGTGTGGCTACTGACGGTGTGGACGGATGGAGACCGGGCGCAGACTCGACGCGCGAGATGGATGACTACTGACTCATTGGCCCCAGTTGTCACAGCTGTGAATGTGCTTTTATGTTTAGGCTGCGCGCCAGTGCAGTGACAGCCTCGTTCGCGGACCGTTTTAGATCAACAACTTCCCGATCGCCTTCGTAGTTGCCAGTGAGTTCAGCCAGCGGAAACGCACGGTGTGTTGTGGGCTTTGACCGACCCTGGACAGTGGCTACCTGTTTTGACGGGTGTGGGGGAGGGGAGGGGCACTCGCTCCCTGATCAGTGCCTTTGCCAAGTGGAGTTAGGTGCCGGACGTGGCGGCGGACCCTGGTGGGTGCGCTGTTCGGCACCGCCGAGAAACGTTACGTTGGTGCTACGGTGCGGTGATTTGTCCATTATGAATTATGACATTGGTGTGCGTATGGATATGTGGGTAAATCACACTCTAGCAAATAAAGAGACAATTCATTATAACCAGCTGTCATTGACGAGAAGAAACCTGCGCGCCTGCGTGTATGCCTGCACGTCAAGGCGGTCAAGAACCTGAGCCCATTTCCCCATAGTTTCATGGGCCCGGGCTCTGCCTACTGAGGTAGCATCTTGCGACGTCGCATGTAAGCGCGTTACACGCATCTAGCAAGATCGCCTGAAAGTCCAAATGTGAGCAATAAGCATAAGCTAGTTTATTATTAGCTAGTTCAGGCCCATAAGACGTAAAGCGCGTAGCGGTGGCGCGCTTTGTTGTTCGTCCGCGCAGTTGCCGAGTTATGCTATCAAGGCCGTAGATAATCGCACCCGCGTGCAGTCGAGGTCTGGGCACTTGCTCGCCTTTTCAGAATGTCGACAGCGCGTCGATCGTTACCAGGCGTTGCCATGGGAACAGTGACGGCTTGCTCTTGAACAAATACACTTATTTCGCCTCTCAGTCAAATGAGTCCGAATCAATGCTACGCGTTATGTATGACTCCGAGCCTGGGCCTCCGCGCGACTCGATATTTTTTCTGGTTTGGGGAAAACGTAGACAAAAGCTTCAGTTTGGGCTCTAGTTTATCGCAGCGATACTGACGCACGAAAGACGAACGTCAAGCCGCTATGTATTGCTAGAGCCCGGTGTGCCCGTGCATGTAATCAATGGGTGTAATTGGGCACAAAGCCCTGGGGCGTGAGGTGGTGCGGATTGCGCGCAGATGTGACACGACTTTATGTTCGTGTAAGCACTTACTGTTGCTGGACGTCATTAGATCCGGGGCTTCCCAATGTCTCTGAAAACAGTCTGAGAAGCAAAGCCAATCTTACGATGGGAACGCTACTTTCACCTGGTGTAGGATGCATTGAGTAAAGCACTTTAAGCTCGCATAACACACACACAAAGTAGTACTGCTCATTTCCCAAACAAATCAACTTCTTCACCAACTTGTTGCAACACTTACATCACTTCAGGACCAAGGAGCTCACAGGCAGGGGATGGATAATTGCTGTCCTGCTGGTATGCTAAAGAAACAAAAGTATGTGTTTGTTCTCTCAAAATTATCACAGGCCCTTTTACCCAAACTGAAGGTGTTGCTGCTCCTCACATGACCACAATTCAGATCAAGGAGGCTCATCACAATGGAGCTAGCAACTACAAAAACATGTGGAAGACCTCCACATTGAGAAGCCTGACCTGGATTGTGGTCATGCGTGTACAGCTTTTGGCAGTTCATGCTGTAGATCAGGGTGTCTATTTTGTGTTGAGGAGGCCTTTTTTGGCCCAGGGGGTCCATTGTTAATTAGGGGGTCTTTTATTGGGAACAGGAAGCATCTTTCATGTTGCAGATGGCCTCATTTTCTGACCAGGATGCCCTGTTTTTGGAAAATGAACTTTGCTGGATTTTGAAATCCCTTTGCGAGTCAAAAGGATGTTGTTGAGAATTAGGATGCACCTTTATGCATAAGGAGGCTATCTTCTGGAACTGGAAGCCCTGTTTTAGGATAGGTATGCCTTTTCCTGATCAGAAGGCCCTTAAACCAAAGGCCCCTTTTTGAAATTTTTAGTGGTTGGTATTTATTTGGAGGCATATTGATGCATGTAATAATTTGATAAGGGGTCACATGACATTTTTCCACTCCTCAAAATATGGTATTGTCCAGGAGGCACCTCTGTGATGAGACCCTTTTATTCAGGGGGGCCCTGGAAAGCTGTGTGCTGTCAAGAAATATTTGGGGCTGTCCCTACTCATCTCAAATGGGTGGCATTTTTGGAACAGCATAGCTTTTATGCCATTGCTTATATGACATAGTTGATTGCAACTTCCAGCAGCCTTACCACTATTCCAATTAAGATGGCCCTAATTTGCCATCATAATTAGGAAAGACCACATATTCATAAAGTTAAGTTTCATCATGCATTATTGAGTATCTTGAAAAGCAATGGTCTATTTGAATGACATACTCAAATACTGCTGGCATCAGAATCCCTGTTAAGTGCAAGTTGTTTTGCAGACATGGTCCACATCACTATAGTGGTCAGAACTACTGAATGGCTTTTGCAAGCCTGATAACCCTTAATGTGATGGATGTTTATTATGCCATGCAAGATTATTATATAGCTGTCTAGCAGTCCAGGGTGTTCTCTCAGTGTGTGGAAAATGACATGTGATGACATGTTTGTATTCCAGAAATTTTGTGATTCCCAGAATTGTGGCCAAGTTGAAGGCAAAACTTTTTCAGTTTTGTGATTGTGATAATTGTGACCAGTCCAAAGGCAATGCTTTGTGCTTGCCAATGTCTCCAAAGGCCAGGATTTTAACTCGGGGTGTACTGGAGAAGAAAGCTAGCTATTTGGTGAAGCAGTAGCCTTGGAGAGCAATTTCTTCAGGGTACAAAGGACCCTGACAAACAATAAAATGTTTCATACACTGCTCTGTCTTTTCTAGGCAGGTTCTGCACTGTAAATGGGATATCAATCTATGTAGCTGTGCCCCAGATGCACCACATTATGATAATTTGCCAGCTGGTGAAAGTGCTGCAGACACTATGCTGCCATACACAATGTTGTTTTTCTTCACAAACAGCTGCCAGGGCAGAATGTGTGCTGAGTCTGTCTGTTGTCTTACTGCTCTGTGTGTGTCATTGCTGGTCAGTATCCTTAGACAACTGATTTGCTCCATGCTTTAATGCACTGCACCTCGTTGCCTCCATTTCCTTACATACCCAAGCAGTCTTCAGATCTGCTGATGCCAGTCAGTCTTTGTCACATAGTTCCTGTTTGCAAAATGTTGACATGACAGACTGCCAGGTAGGCTGATGGTATTGCATCTTTGCAGACCTGCTCCAGAGCAGTGACAATGCAAACAATACCTAGTGCAGCTGTGAGAAGGTTAGATTGGCTATTAGAAGGCTGGATTGCTTCATACATGATAGCCCTATTCATGTGCTCAGCATCTGTTGCCAATCATTCCAGCCAGACTCTGCCAGGCACGCTGACTACCACAGGCCAGTGCCAGCCATGAACATCGACGACGTATATGCTCACATTGGCCAGTTTGGCCGGCAGCAGCGCAAGTACTTCGGCGTCTCGTCTGCCGTGCTGGGCACGTACGCCTCCGTGGCTACCTTCAACCAGCAGTTCGCCTGTAAGCCCCAGCAGACTGAGGGTGGGGCTAGGGGTTAGGCACTTTTGAATTATCAGCCTCAGGTGGTGTGGCTTAGATGTCGTGAGCACCTGCGGCGACTGGGGCGGACCATTCGGTGGTGGTGGTGGCTGTTTTTGAGCGGTTCGTTTGCGAGATTCAGATGTGTTTTCGGTAATGTATCTCTTGGTCTAACTTAGGTGTATGTTTGATTATTAAGCTTACATGCTCACCTAGTAGGCCTTATTCACGTGGCATATGGCATGATGGGAAGTCTTGCCTGTGTGGCGTAGAACGACTTAAGAAATGGCAGCGCATGACCTCTCGCTCCGCGCATGGCTCGTCGTCGTCCTCCACCTTGTCCTCCGTCTGAACAGTGACTCGAGTCTCGCCGGAGTCCCCGCTAACCAGCCGTATTTGGCGCTCCTCCGCAGGCTGGCAGCCCGACTTCGAGTGTTTACACGCGAACGGCTCGGCGCTGACGAACGAGTGCTTCGACAATCGGGCGGACAGCTGTGCGCGGCTCCATTTCCACGGCGCCTACACGACAGTGGTGACGGAGGTGCGTGCCGTGCCGTCCGCGTGGCCGACACGACCTGGCCTGCCTGGGGAACGGCATCGAGACACGGGCGGGGGGGGGGGGGGGGGGCTGCGTGGGTGGGACCGTGGATAGCGGATTGCTCGACACAGCATGCGTAGCTTCAAGCAGGGGAGTGTGGTTGTGAAGCACAGTGTGGCATTGCTTGCGGACTTCTCTGGCCACGACCCCGACGTGGTCCGGCCTGCACCATGACCTGGTCTTTGCCCTGTTGGGGGCACGTGGTGAGCATGTGCACACCTAAGTTTTGGCCCTTAGTTTTGGCATGTCCTTTGGTGATATGTGGCCTAATGATCACCTGCCCTGACCTCACAGGTAAGCAGTCCTGGTGCGTGACCGGGCATGTAGCCTGACCCGATCTGACCAAATCTGACCTGATGGAACCCCCTGCTGGCATGGGGCATGTCATAGGAGCAGTGGAGCATGGTGTGTTACCTGATCTGTGACCTGACTCGACCCCTGCAGCATTGGGATTTGGTGTGTGACATGACATCTGACCTGTGAGTTATGGCCTGACCTGTCCTGACCTGGCCCCATCCAGTAGTGGAGCCTGGTGTGTGACCTGACCTGACCTAACCCTGGCAGACACTCTGTGATCTGTTGCATGACCTGACCTCACTGGCTGTGGGGCCTATTGTCTGACCTGACCTGACCTGACCCCGGCCGACAGTGGGGGCTGGTGTGTGACCTGACCTGACCCCGGCCGACAGTGGGGGCTGGTGTGTGACCAGTCGTGGCGGCCGCGCTCGGCCCAGTCGGCCTTCATGCTGGGCCTGATGGTGTCGGCGCTGCTCTCGGGACCCCTGTCGGACCGCTTCGGCCGTCTTCGGCTCACATGCCTGATGGCGGCCGCCGTCGCTGGTCACCGTGACGACGCAGGCCCTGGCGCCCAACGTCGACGTCTACATCGCCGCCAGGTGAGCCGAGGGCGCCCGGTCAGGCTGCGGGCCAGGCTGGCCGCTGGTGGGGGCCGGCTCGCGCTGCTGGTGTGGGGTCAGACCGCTGTAACGCCGCGTCGTGCCAGACGACAGCGGCACTGGGTCGGACTGTGGCGTCGCTGGGTCGTGGTAAATCGGTGCGGGCGAGTCGGGCCGTCGCACGGGCCGGGTCAGACTGGCGTCATGGTCAGGCCGACGAGGACGCGGTGCGGTGGGTGGGGCGGCAGGGTGGCGGCGTGCTACAGATCAGTGCATCTCGCCGTTCGATGGGTCAGGTTAGCGGTCTCTTCACTGTTCCGCACTGCACTTTGAGAACAGGTGGAGCCACGTGGCGCCTTCCCCCCCCCCCCTCCCCCGCCCCCGTGCACAGGCTGGTAAACGGCGTGCTGCACATGGGCGTGGCTCCCTCCATGTCATCCGTCCCCCGTCCACAGGCTGGTGAACGGCGTGCTGCACATGGGCGTGGTGCTCTCCATGTTCGTGCTGCAGCAGGAGCTGGTCGGCCCCGAGTACCGGGCGCTGACCGGCAACCTCGCCGGCTGTGCCTTCTCCACCGGCCTGATGGTGTTGGCGCCGCTGGCCTGGGCCTGCGCCAGCTGGCGCGCGCTCTACGGCGTCACACTGGCGCTCGGCTGTCTGGTGCCACTGCTTTGGTGGTGAGTACTGCTGGTCGGACGGGAATTGGGCTTGGAATGGGACTCGGGCTTGGTGGTGTCACTGGTGAGTGCTGCTGGTCAGACTTGAGTGAGACTTGGGCCAGGCGGTGACCGCTGCTGGTTGGATGGAAGTGGGTCTTGTGCCAGACGGTGAGTGCCACTGGTCGGACATGAATGGGACTGAGTACTCCTGCCCCGACAGGAGGGTTGCAGTTTTGAGTGGGAGAGCTCTTGATACGCCTTGAGAGCCGCTTCCGTGACTGGGAGTCCGGCGATGGGGCCTGATTTCGCCTCCTGTGCATGACACAGCGCGGTGTAACGGATACGGACGTCCCGCAGTTGATGTGGCAGCTCCTGCTGTTGAAGCAGTCTTCCTTGGGGTGGAAACGATCGTCGCTGCTGTCGATGCGACGGTTTCTGGTGTGAGTGTCGCGATTTATGGTGGCTGGTCGGCCCGGTGGCGCATCGGCTGGGACGCGGGGCCCCGGCTCGCAGCGAGTAGCAGACTCACGGGATTCCGGATGCAGAAACATAGCGGGTTCGAACCCCATCCGAAGTGTAGAACTTACGGTCATAAGAAGGAAACATTTTACCAGCTGCCAGCGGCGCTGTGGCATTGCTCCGCCGGTGAAAATCATCGGTGCTGTTTGGCTAATAAGCTGATGATAAAGTTGTATGTTATCTCTGGCCACCTGATGGGGGGGGGGGGGCTTTATCCTTATGATATCCCCAAAACGTACAATGCTTAGGGGAAATTCAATGTCATTGCCACTAGAGTAAAAAGGTCATGCGAGGCATTGATCTAAAGGGTTCTGCTGTCGGTACGAGGGCGAATTTTGTGCCTGTTTCTGTGCTGTGAATGTCATTGTTCACGTTTTTTATGAAGGTCGTCGCCGACAAAGATCTCTACACTGGCAGGTGAAGTTGGTTCAAACATCACAATAAGTGCGACCCATATGGCGTATGGTCGTGAAACCAACGTCGGGTAAACGCTCGATGCAAGCCATTACATTAAAGTCACGAAACGAATCGCCTAGGTTCTAGAGGTGGTGAAATTATTCGCGACAGATCGGGCTGCGCGATATCGATGCACACTTGCACCGACCTGCATCGATCGACCTGCACAATATCGATATCGATGCACAGAGGAGTGCTCATCACCTCCGCCACCCGACAGGATATTCCATTTCTCACGGTGTTCTCGCGCGCCCGGGCCACCGGGAACTCCTTGTGCGGGTCGATTGAGTAAAGGGGCGAATGAAAGCTTAACCTCGGCTGTGCTGCTGTGGGCGCCTGGAACATGGCGGAATCTCCCTGGCCGCGTGCGTTGGACCTCCGCTCCGATGACGCAGCGGCCGTCCTCGTCAGGGCTGAGTCGACCAGTGACGTCACTGGGGTTCGTCGTGATGATGATGATGATTATGATGATTATGATGATGATGTGATGATGCTCCGTCGATGATGATGAGTAGAACTGATGGTCGGGGCTCCAAACCTGCAATTTAACGTCCAAACCCCCGAAAGAGGAGCGTTGACCGTCCACCCGTGCGTGAATCCTTTGCGTGAGTCCCTCATCCTTGCACAAGGCTTCCCATCATCGCCGTGGCGTGAAGCAGCACGGAAGACATGCGGCAAACGCGTTCTGTGGTCGGAAGATGCTCGTTTGGATGGGGTTCACTCGTCCGCGAAGCATGGCAGTGACACAGCGTGGCGACAATACTGTGGCCATGTGGGTTCGAGGCTGCGGTTGGGATGTTTTTGAAATGCCGCCCCCGTTGTGCGTCAGGCCGGCGGTCGGTGAGCGGGCGGGGCGGGGCGGAGGTGGATCCATGACCCTCCGTGCCCCTGGGATACGAGGGACGATCAGATATAATCAGGCAGAATCCCTGTGCCTATCTTCTGGTGCTGCGTTTATGCATGCACGTAGTTGTGAATACAACATTCACTAAGATCGTCATTATCTGCAGACCTACGCCAGTAATCACTTTGTGTTGCAGCCTTGCAAACCATTGCCTTCCATGTATCTTGTCGGAGAAGCGCTTAAATCAAATCAAGATATCAAGGACTTGTGCTGGTATCGGAGACGTTTTAACATTTTACAGTGTCTTTGCGAGGAGCAAAACGAAAGCTGTCTGGTCGCTATCCTCCCTTGGAAACGGCACGAGTTTGTGCGCCTTTTAAGCATGCGTCCTATTGTCTCGCATCCGCTAATTTCGACACGTTTTCTCAATGGAGGGTATCTCAACGTGTTTGCCTGGGTCCTTATCTTGTCTGCTAATGGCACGATCGAAGGGGGGGGGGGGGAGCACGATAGCAGCTGATAAGAAAGCCTTCTTTCAACGCGCGACTAATCCGCTATTGGTTCGGGTGTCGCCCTTTGAGCCCAGCTTCACTTGACAGCGCGTGTCCCCGACGGCCCTCACTCTGGTGCCGGACAGGTGTCGTCTGACATGGCTATGCATCTGGTGCGATCCAAAGCCATGTTTCGGCCATGGGCACTCAAAGCTGCCGACATGGACAAGGACAGCTGGTGAGGGCGGTGCTGTAGCCGTAGCCGGAGCCGGCGCAGGCCCGCCCGCCTCGCCTCACCGGTCACCACCGAGGTGTCGGTAGTGGTGGATTGTGCTGACGAGTGAGGTGACAGTCAGGTAGCGTGACGCGTCAGTCAGCGCCGGCCAGTGTCGGGCGCGTGCCGCGGACGTCTCCCCCTCCCGAGCTGGGAGACGCCGAGGTGTCGGTAGTGGTGGATTGTGCTGACGAGTGAGGTGATAGTCAGGTAGCGTGACGCCTCAGTCAGCGCCGGCAAATGTCGGGCGCGTGCCGCGGGCGTCTCCCCCTCCCGAGCTGGGAGACGCCGAGATAGCGCTCCAGACGTTAGACTCTCGTATAATGCCAGCCACGGTCTGCAGGGCACAGTCCGGTGCTGCAATGCGTGGATAGTTTCGTGGCGTTATGGGAGTTATTGCACGCCTTCACACATCTGATGAACACATTTCATTGCCACTTTATTAAGCGTAGCGCTTGATGCGTTGTCTTTGTTAAGACACACCTGCTTTTTCTATTCGATTTTTCGCTGGCTCCCTGCTAAAATGTTCGATTCTAGCAGCGCCGCAGTACATTTGTGCTACATATGTTCTTCTACACATGCTACTGGCTTGTTCCGATTTTAGCGGAGCATCGTGCCCAAGCCCTCTCAAACCGATCAGTGCGAGCACAAAAAACATCATCAGCCAGCTCTGATTCTGGGCGAACTCCGCCTGATCCGAACGAACCGAACGAGTGGAACGAATTCCCCTCCGAACACAGCCTCCCAGAGAGTGGCGTCCACGACCACCGTCACTCCCGCCGAAGCCCAGCCCGCAGGGAGCCGGCACACAGCGGCCCCGCTCATCGGCGCGTGGCTACCACCTTGTAGGGCACGGGCGACGCCAGCCCGCCGGCGTCCGCGCGCGAGAGGTCGTGTTCGCACCCGGCCGGCAGGGCGAAGTTGTAGCGCTGCAGCGCCACCGTGGTGAAGAGGAAGAGCTCGGAGCGCGCCATCGCCTCGCCGAGGCAGGAGCGCTTGCCGACCGAGAACGGCATCAGCGCCTTGCTCGGCTGCAGTTTGCCGTCCGCGTCCAGGAAACGTTCCGGCCGGAACGTCCACGGGTCGGGGAAGTTGCGCGGGTCCTTGTGCACGGCCGGGAAGAGGGCGGCGATCGCGGCGCCCCGCGGCACGGTGTACCCTCCCAGCTCGAACGCCGCCTCCGCCACGTGCATGACGCCCATCGGTGCGATGTCCGCCAGTCGCTGCGTCTCCATGATGAAGGCGTCCGTGAAGGGCATACGCTGGCGGTCGGCGAGCGAGGGCGGCCGGCTGCCGCCCACCACCGCGTCGATCTCGGCCTGCACGCGCCGCTGCGCCGCCGGCCGCGCACACAGGCAGCAGAAGATCCAGCGCAGCGTGGTGGCCGTGGTGTCGCTGCCGGCGTTGAACATGTCGCGGATGGTTTGCACCAGGCCCTCGTCAGTGAAGTGGTGCGGGTCCTTGCGCTGCTCCAGCAGGAAGCAGTCGATGAAGTCGCGCGGCTCGGCTGTCGGGTCGAAGCGGCGCCTGTGCTCCTCGATGACCGGCATGATCAGGTGCTTGCGCGCGTAGCCGAAGAGTTCCAGCACCACGTCCACCTGTGTCAGTGACTTGGGCAGGATCTTGAACAGCACCGGCAGGAACGCGAACCAGTTGAAGCGCTTCGTCTTCTCGGTGAGCTCCTTGCCCTTGTTCATGATGTTGAGCACGCGCTCGTCGGTGATGCCGAGCGTCTCGGAGGCGGCGATGCCCCAGACGATGTTGACAACGGCGATGTCGAGACTCTTGTCGATGTCGAGGGGGCAGCCCTCGTTCGGCGCCACGACCTGCGCCAGAAAGTCGTCCACCTGTTCGCGAATCACCTCCTCCAGCCGCGCCTTGCCCATGCCGAAGTTACGCAGGTGGAAGAGCGCGAATCGGCGCGTCACGTGCCAGAGCTCGCCGGTTGAGAGAATCAGGCCCCGTTCGACGCCGAGCATCTCGAAGAGGCCGCCTTTCGGCCGCCCTGTGGACGCCGCCTTGCTGAACGCCTCTCGGATGAGCGCGGCGTCCGAGAGCACCACCACCGTATCTACACCCAGCTTGACGCTGTAGATGGCGCCGTACTGCCTCTGCCAGCGCAGGAACGTCCGGTCCGGCTGCTTCGGGTCCAGCTCCAGCGCGCGCCCCAGCAGCGGGATGTTCGTCGGACCTGCGGCACGCACGGCGGGTGAGGCGCTGCACTCCGCCGAGAGCGGAGGGAAGGCGCGTTGTTGGTGCCCCTGGCGTTCGTGCCCGCTCGGCTAGGTTTGTCATCGTTGTTGGTTCTTTTCTGACAAAAGAGGGTCATTTTGCTTTCGGATGCCTTCTGTAACGGAGTTAGATCCGCGCGTTAGCGGCCTTAGGGCATGGTAGCCCAAAAATCAGGCTCGGAATGCACCACGCCAGACAAAAACAAAACGAAAACAGCGAAACAAAAGCGATCGGGAGGCGGTAGCCGCGTGCGTTCGGCACCACTCACCGGGCGGGCGTTTTTCGGCCGTTTGTTCTGATAGAGCAACCACACCACCAGAAAGACCACCGTGAACACCACCCACATCATGGCTGAGCCGGGTCCGTCGCGCGCCCAGGCCGCTCTGCACTGCCGGTGCACGCGTCCTCTCCCGACCGCCGCCAGCAGCCGAGTGGCCCACGCTGCCGCGTCGGCCACAAGGCCACCTCCCGCGCGCCGAAGGTCGCCGGCGCGCGCTCGGCTCGCCGGCAGATACTGCGGACGGATCGCGAGTGTTGCGTCAGTTGTCCGGGGAGTTGGTGGCACGTGGAACATGGTGCGCCTTTGTGCAATGATGTGGTGGATAAACGAGCGGTTTTGCCCATGGCCTATTGCCGCGGAATTGCCAACGGCGCTATTCCCTCCGATGAGGTTCTGGCCACGGCGGCTCAGCCTGCCCGCAGTATGCGTGGGCAGTCCCGCCGTCGTTTTTAGCTCTAACAACAACAACAACAAAACGTAAAAAAATGTGGTAACAACGGTTGTCTTATAGTAAGTGCACCCTTATATGCTTACCATACGGTCAGGATTTACGATGCTGAAGTCTAATTGAACCTTGATTAGTGTGGAGGCGGTGAGGAATCTTAGCAAAACATGGTTTTGCGCATGAAAAAGCTATTTGTATAGAGTTTGCCTGTTTGTTTGCACTTAACCTGTTGACGTCATTCTGGGAAACGTTTGGAAAACGAATCTTCAATAGAAGTGTGTCGTACGAGCTATATATATATATATATATATATATATATATATATATATATATATATATATATATATATATACATGCCTATATAATTCATCGTTTACAAACCAGTCGTTACAATTGAACCGTTTCCTTCGTTAATCATGGCCTTAATAATGACAAGGGAATACATTTATGGGTGGAATGTTTTCACCCACCGTCCTTGTGTCGAATTACATGTCACATACGTTCATGCTTATCTCATGTTTGTGGTGTTCAAATCAAGATGTACACTCGAAAGACCAATACCTCCCTGGGAAGGAAGTCAGTACCATTACCCCTAAGAAGTAACGTTTCGTAGCGCCACTGGCGGTTGAGATTAGCTGCTCATCACCGCAGGAGAACTCTGCTTTTGCACGGCATTTAGTTTGTTTTTGGAGCTGCGAAACCATTGTGTTGCTGAGCGTGGCCGCTTTAGGGCTATCACCTTGCCCAGCAGACACGTGCCTTTCTCGCAACACGGCCCTCCGTGGGAGTAGAACGCCACGCCCACTGCCGCTGGTCTCGGCAGTCAGCTGATGCCGCGTGTCGTGGGCCTGCGGGCGGGAGGCCGTGGAGCCGGCGGACCCGACGGCCTCGCCCGCCGGGTCTCGCCGAGCATGTGGCGCGCGCGGCCCCGCAAACCGCCGCGTCATCCGGACTGGGGCGGCTGCCATCAGCGCCGCAGACGTGGCGCAGCCGAGCAGACGTGGCGCAGTCGAGCGCTGATGCAACTGAAGAGGGGGGTGATCATGTGGGGACGGATAAGTGCAGAGGTTGGGTTATGTTGTCAGTCAGCGGTGTAGTTCCCTATTCACTTGACCGATTACTCCTCCCCCCCCCCACACACACACTTCGCAAAACTACACACATGTCGTCAGCTTTCTGCTTAATGTTCTGAGAGTGTTCTCTCCCGCTGTGTACCGCCAGCTACCTGCCGGAGGGCTCGTCTGTGACGTCACCCTCTATCTACCGTCAGCTGCCTGCGGGAGGGCTCCGAGGACTCGTCCAAAAAGCAAGAGATTCCTGCGGTGGGAATCGAACCGCGCACCTCGAACCGTCTGTGACGTCACTCCCTGTCTACCGCCAGCTACCTGCCTGAGAGTCCGCGCTGGCTGCTGGTGCGCGGCCACCGGGAGCGGGCGCTGCACGTGCTGCGCGAGATCGCCGCCGGAAACGGCCGGCCCCTGAGCCGGGACCTGTCCGACCTGCGCGCGCCCCGCGACGTCGACTCGGAGGGCATCGGCACGCTGCTGCGCACCGGCCGCGGCGCCGCCTGGACCCTCATACAGATCCTGGCCTGGTGAGATGCCGCGGCGCCGCCTGGACCCTCATACAGATCCTGGCCTGGTGAGATGCCGCGGGCGGTGCTGCTGTGTGGCGGGAGGGCGACGCCCTGACGCCGCTAGCACAGCAGCTCATGAGGAGGAGCTGAGGTAAGGGGGGATGTTGGAGGAGGTGCGGTGTTCGTCATTTGTAGGCCGGCACGGGCAAGGTACGTGTTGCGGCAGTTGTCCGAAGCAAATGCTAAAACACTGTTTTCCAGTCGAAGGGGTTGGGAGCATCGTTGGCCTCGTGGCACAATTGGCAAAACATGTCATTAGTGTCGTGGATAATCGTGGAGGCACAAGTTTCGGTTGAATTTTATTTTAAGAACTACTGTATCGTCAAATTAGCCGCCGCCTGAGGAAGGCTCCACAAGATGGGTGACAAGGCTGTGGAGAAAGCCGTAAGTTTTTGCTCTCTGAACACCACACGGAAAAGGCCCGCAAGATGTGGCGCATGAACGTCAACAATTCACGCGTTGCATGCATGACGAAGCTCACATAAGTACAGGCTCAGCTTTACTGGGATATGTTGTCGAAAGCAAGCTGTTGCTATGGGTTGTTTAATGCAAATGTGCCAACCGGGAATCAGAAATGTCCAGACCATGCGAGCTGTCGCCAGCACCGTGTATTGGAGAGTTTCACCAACAGCATCTACCTGCAGCACGTGCTAAAATGGTCCGTTGTCACCGTCACGTCGCCACCGTCAATCCCAGTGACGTCACCGGCCATCTCAGTTACTGTCACCACCCGCCGAGCCGATTGTCGATTTGGACCGAGTCGTCAAGCACCTGGCAGATGGCCTGCGCACCGGGCTGCCCTCCGCAGTCGCGGCTGCGCCACAGGCCGTCGGGCTCCGTGAAGCTGCAGTTGAAGCGGTCCCGCGACCCCCAGGAGGCCTATTTCGTGAAGCTGACGTCGCCCCAGTGGGCCCATGTCCAGAAGCGGTCCGGGAAGCCGATCAGACCGAGCCAGACGCTGCTGTTGCCCGTCAGCTCGTGCCGGGTAGTGGGTCGTCTTCAGCGCGGGGCACAAGAGGGAGGGAGGGAGCAGGTACACGCGACACCGACTGAACGTGTCACGACGACTGGGGACGTAGAAATACCGGATATGGCAGGAATCAAACTACGTATTTTCACACACCACTTTCGCGATCATGAATGCTACCGAGCCCGTGCGGAAACCTGCGCATAGCGAAATATTCTGCGGCGGGAATCGAACCTGGGACCTCGGGACGTACCTGCACGGCCTGGTTCTGCGTGGACCGAGCGCGCGCTGGCCATCACAGCGCCGGTATGAACGCCTGTAGCAGAGCGTGGCCGCACCGAGCCAGCGGCACCGGCCCGAGCTCCGGGTCGAACCAGTAGCAGGAGGGGCTGCGGCGCGGCGGGGTGGCGCCGGGCAGGCGGCGCGCTCCCAGCGCCCAGCCGCCGCCAGCAGGCAGAGCAGTACGGCGGCGACGCGCGGGGACATGGCCAGGCGGCGAGCGGTACTGCGGCGCTAGTCGCGGTGGGCTGCACGGCGGTGCTCGCGCCCTGGAGCGATCAGCTGGCATGGCGCGCTAGCAAAGTTCGGGTAGGAGGGGGCGGGGGGGAGGGGGGGGGGGGGGGGGGGGTATACGGCTGTGGAGTGCAACGCTTGGGTGGCTCAGCTCATGTAGCCGTACGAAAGACGTGACTTTATAAGGTGCGTAGGGAATGAAGCGGCTAATGTTCCTGATCCTTTCTGAAGGCTGACGTAGAGGAACAGTGTCAGCACGCAATTGGTGAATATTTGTGTAGCGTCTGTTGATCAAATGGATGGAAATGTGTGCAGGTTGTACGCTGCACACGGATTCCCAGACCGTCGAAGTGTGCAGCGGATTCAAGGAGAATTTGTGTGCGTCCTTTTTGCCGCCTTTCCCCAGTTGTTCTCTAAGACAGCGTCGCATCGCATAGTCGGGGCTACACGGCGGAACCGCGACGCCGCTGTGACGCCAGAACTTCAGCTAGCGACGCCCCGCCGGCAGGTTCACCGTCAACCTGGGCTTCTACAGCCTGACCGCGGCCTCGGCCACCGTGGGCGGCGACCGCTTCGTCAACTTCGCTGTCTCCGGCTTCGTGGATCTCCCAGCCCACCTCTTCGTCTTCTTCATCCTGGACAGGTGGGACGCGAAGCTGAGTGTGCTGGCCATGTGCACACTCGTGCTGAACCACGCCGTCCTGATTAGTGGACAGGTGTGCTGAAAAAGTCCGTGCGTATGGGACAGGTATGACCTTTCGCCTTTGTGCCGCACTAGGGACGTCTTAGACATTAACGCCCCTGGACTCGAGAAAGCCCTTGCTCTAGAATATCGGGCCCGCCGCAGACGTGTTGGCCAAACTGGCGTACGGCTCGATCCCGGGTCACGTAGCTTAACTGCTTGGCCGCCATCGGCTGTGCCATTCACGTTCGACGCCTTGTGACTCCTGGTCTTTGTCCCCTGACTCCTGGTCCGTCCCCCTTGACTCCTGACTCGTGCCCCCCTGACTCCTGGCCCCCTGACACGTGACCGTTGACACGTGACCCTTGACACGTAACCCTTGACACGTAACCCTTGACACATGATCCCTGGCATGTGACCCCTGGCACGTTACCCCTGACTCTTAACCCCCGACACGTGGTCCTTGACCTCTTACCCTTAACTCTGACGTTTGATTTGTGGTCTTGGATTTCTGACCCCTGACCTTTGACTCTTGAGTCCTGACCCCTGAAAGGTGACCCGTGACCCATGACCCCGGCGGCAGGTTCGGTCGCCGGCGCTCGCTGTCGGGCGTGTTCCTGGGCGGCGCGGTCGGCTGCCTGGGGGTGCTGGTGCTGCCTGCCAGTGCCGACCACGGACGGCTCGGCGGACGTGCCGCCTTCCTCTGGCTCGGTGAGAACAACGGTCTGGTGCCGTGAGAACATGGGTCAGGGTCGGTGAGAGCAGTGTATGCTTTTGAGAATAGTTGTTTCGGTCGGTGAGAACACTTGCCGGGCTTAGTGGGATCGCTTTTCGGGCCTGTTGGGAACACCCGTGGGACTTGTTGAGAACACTTGGCTGTCTTGGTGTGAATGCTTACCTGGCTGTGGGAAAACATGTTTCGGGCGCGATGAGAATTATGTGCGGCTGGCTCTTTCTGGTCCGGTGAAAGAATTACGAACTCTCGTTGTTCGGCTGCGATACCATACGGTTGTCTGCTGTCGTGGGTAGAAGAACCTTATGGAGTTGTAGTGCAACTAAGGAATACTTAGATAACTGAAGGCAATAGTGCGTGTCAGCGACAAAAATGAACAGTGCAGACGTGAATGTTAACCGCCCGCCGCAAAGTTGATGCTGTGTGCCGACGCTACGTGGAATGTGACCATGTGACCAGTGACGATGAAGGTTGACGGCGTCATTGCTGATGACAACGCGGCCGTTGATTCCGGCAGGCAAGCTGATGATGTCGGCTGCCTTCACGGTGGTGTACGTGCACACGCTGGAGATCTTCCCGACGTCGGTCAGAAACCGCGGCATCAGCGTCATCAACGCTTCCGCCCGCATCTCTGGCATCCTCTACCCCTTCATGGTCCTCCCTGGTGAGCGCGGCGGAGTCGCTCCTGCAGGCGCTGATACGGGCGGAGAGGCGCGAGGTGGTGCTCTCCATATGGCGGACGCCGAGCACCATGGATCTACTCGATCATGTTTGGACAGTGTGTGTGTGTCTTCTGGCCGCGTTTCTGATCCGGGCGGAAGACTACAGGATAAAATGCTCCAAACCGTCACGCACTCTGGCACTGTCTTCATACTGACTGTCTTCGTGCTGTATCTTCATATCATCACGTTCACATACTGCGTATGCGTCTGCACAGACTGTTCATGTCCATCTCGCCGCGAGGCGTATTTGTTCGTGTACCCCGGTGCACCGTGTCGTAAAGCTTCGGGCCGTGTCCTGCCGTGGCGTTCCTCGCCCTGCCCCGCCGTGGCGTACCTAACCCGGCCCCGCCGTAGCGTACCTCACCATGCCCCGCCGTGGCGTACCTCACCCTGTCCCGCCGTGGCGTACCTCACCCTGCCCCACCGTGGCGTACCTCACCCTGCCCCGCCGTAGCGTACCTCACCCTGCCCCGCCGTAGCGTTCCTCACCCTGCCCCGCCGTAGCGTACCTCACCCTGCCCCGCCGTAGCGTTCCTCACCCTGCCCCGCCGTGGCGTACCTCACCCTGCCCCGCCGTGGCGTACCTCACCCTGCCCCGCCGTGGCGTACCTCACCCTGCCCCGCCGTGGCGTACCTCACCCTGCCCCGCCGTAGCGTACCTCACCCTGCCCCGCCGTGGCGTACCTCACCCTGCCCCGCCGTGGCGTACCTCACCCTGCCCCGCCGTGGCGTACCTCACCCTGCCCCGCCGTGGCGTACCTCACCCTGCCCCGCCGCCCCGTGACGCTCTGCCGGCGCCGCCGCAGGACTCCGTGTTGCCGGACCTGCAGTACGCGCTGCTGGCGTCTCTGATGCTCTGCTCCGGTGGGCTGGCCCTGCTGCTGCCGGAGACGGCCGGGCGGCCGCTGTTCACCACGGTGGCGCAGCTGGTCGGCCGCGAGGCGGACTCGGCCGAGCTGCTGTCACTGCTGCGCGAGGAGGAGACGGCGGCCGTGCCGCTCATGGGCCCGCTCGCCGCCAGCCCCGAGCCCGGCCAGCCCCTGACCCGAGCCTGGGGCGGCGCCGGCGGCGCCGAGCGCTGGACAGACGAGGAGGACGATGCCTGGACGGAGGAGACGACGGTGGCAGGACAGGAGGGCGCGCCTGCGACGTGAGGGGATGGGGAGACGGACGGCAATACGGGGAGCTGATTGGGTTCTCAGGAGTCGTCTGTCGGAGGAGGATGTGGCCAGCTGGCGGGCTGGGTTCTACTGCGTCGGCTAGAACTCCGGTCCGGTCTCTGGACCACGGTCCGGCCTCAGTTCGCCAGCACCCCATAGGGTTTGGGTGGCCCACTGGCCGAGGCGGGTCGTCTAGTCGATGCCGGTGTACTGGGTGTGTCCACCGGTTGGGAAGTGAGGGCTGCAAACGGGTTACCACTGGTGTCCAGATTGCGGCAAATCTTGTGCGCCGAATCCGAACTTCCCGGAGAGTGCAATTTAATGCTGGTGCCAACGGTTTTGAAGCATCCATGAAAACTATTTTGGTATTTGAATACGCACGGGTACTGTTTTGCCTGCTCACTTTTCTCGTCGCGGAAGAAGAGGCAGAGAAGCACTGTTTTGGATTTGTGACAACTTTGCGGGTTTAGTTTGAAAATTAGATGCCGTGCTTCGGTATCCCGCGCCCTTGCTTGAAAGGAATGTCTGTATGCTATTGTAAGGTTGTCCGCTGGTATATATATAGAACCTTGTTTCCGTTGTAACAAGGTAGGAAAGCAAAGGTGTGGGGACCTGGTGTAGTCAGCGTTTGAACGTTTGCACGAAAAGTACAATTTTATTGCATTTTTACTGAGCCCGTCGAATGTATTACACAAGTTGTTCCAGCTTCGTATAACGTGCAGCGTTGTCCAGCTGCTGGTCGCACGATCCGTCGCACCCGTGCCGTTGCGTAATAATATTTCCTGGTCATGGCCGCGTACACCACTTACTTGCTGCTCAATGAATCCTACGCGATACAGCCACTGATGGCAAACTCGCCTGCCTCTGGAGATCCGCGTACTGTTGCTGTCATATCATGTGCCGTTCTGGCCGC